AGCACGAACGTTGGGTGGAAGATGTTGCCTCATACCCTGTGGTCAGTTTTGTTGAACTTGATGCGTAGCAAAGCTACGGCTGTGTTCAGGCTGTGTTTTGCTCGAGCTTGGAGGCGACCGTCGCGTACAGAAACTCGCGCACGAAGAAGATGACACCTTGTTGATAGCATCAACTTGAAACTTGGAGCTCATCCAGCTGCCCCTGCATCTAATCCATTTGGGTATGCATGGACTTGTTCTGTGTGTTCTCATACGTTTTCCAATTTATCAATCTCTACATCCTGTCCACACACCATTGTATCCAGTTGCTCCTCCGATCGATTGTCGACGCTGCTTTGCAAGGTGCTTGATCTTGTTTCAACCGAAAAAAACTGGAACCAGCCTAGCTTGAATTTAGGTTTGAATCGGTTTGAATTACACTTGCCACACCCTCCATTGACAAACGACTATCCAACGGTGCTTTGACATTCGGGTGTGCCTTCCTTCACTCAAGTCGTCTCTTGCCAACGCGAGCGGGTGGAGTCATTGCGGACATGTCGTACAACTGGCAACACGAGAGACAAGTAAGACTAGTTGCGCCGTTTGGCTTGAGCGTTGAAGACGAACGTGCGACAAAAGAACATACACACACAGACGATCTTGATCTCAGATGCTGTCCGGACCCCCGTTGTTTTGCAGCAGCATCCCCCAGCCAGGCGGAAAATGTCCAACAAACCGAACTCAGAAAAGCGCAGGAAAGCAGAGAAAAGATGCGAAACGTCAAAACTGTAAACACTCCCCTACTGTTTTGATTCTTCAGACTTTTGCGGTTTGCATCGGTTGTTCACTTTTGGAACCAACGCCTGCCTTAGGGATGTGAAGCTCACATGTCCAGTGCATGCTGCTGGTCGATACACCCGGCAGTTTTTTGTTGTGTATGGATTGTTTGTACGAGCTTGTGCATGGAGCGAACCCTCGCTCAATTGGAAAACGCTCGGCATGGCATCCACTGCATTACGTCCTTGAGGCGATGGTTCGCATGCTCGACATGGTTGTGCAATGTCGTGCAATAGCCGCCACAGTCTAGAATGTATGGCGTTGGCACCAGGAATCAACAGGCCCAATCGCGCCGAAAATCTCAGAATCTCAGTGTCGACAGTTTGATAAGGCCAGGATTCATCATGGGTCATGTGATTCAGTGATGGTTGCAACCAAGTAGTCACTCAACAATTCGACCAATGCTTAATGCCTAGAGTCCCTATAACAACCGTTGTCCAGAGCATGGTGCGGTATAGATAGACGCCGATCGAAGACGGGTCGCTTGGCCATGAACATTGGGCGGAGAGCGATGCCAGGACTGCTTCGACACTTCATCCTCGCATCGTTTCCCTCTCAGGTCCGCTCTACCTGGACGTCTGGTGCGCACATGCTGGCGACAGTCCGGCTGGCCATGTTCAATTGTTTGGCAGATGGTCCCACAAAAAATAGTGCTTGACAGAGGTTGAAACAATGGCCAGGCATTCGGCACACTTCATTGCAAAGGCCTCCCTCTGCCGCCTCCGGACCAGCCGGCGCCACAGGGCAAGGAGAATTCGGAGGCCGGGTTTTCGATTGTTCAGTACATTTGAAGCATTCGACACAGATTTTGCAAGGCTGACGTGGGTCACAACGTGCAGGACATCGGAGAGACTACACCAATCAAATCCAGTTTGGGCGGTACGCCATGGCAAGAGGCGCATGCGGATCCGCATGCATGGCCGTGGGTGGCAGAAAACCTTCCATCCCACACTATCGGCAGTGAGGACCCCCTTCAAGACACATAGTTGCTGTGTAGAAGGTCCATGAAGGTCGCGCGTGCAGCAGCCGCGGTTGCAGGACGATAATGAAAGATCTCGGGCAGCTGTTCAAGATGCTTTCGAACATCGTTTGCAAGCCAACACTGGAGATATGGCCGCTCGGGTGATGAAGCTGCAAATCTTTTCGGTACTATAGCAAAGAATGAAGTTTGTGATGCGCAGGTGGGATTGTGGTGCGACTATGTGCAGTGGGTGGAGCAAACTTACCCCAAAACGGAGCATGAAGTCCACGTGCTGGCACGTGCCTGTCCCTCCGATGAATACATGCGAACGAGTTTGTGCAAGCGATGTGCAGTACCCGTACAACTGTACAACCCTCCGCTCATTTTCTGTTAGCACCCCTGCACATCACAGGCTATTCTCTGACCGGCGATCCTGCGCTGAAGGATGATATTCGCTATTTGCGCTTGTGGGTGAGGCATGCGGCACTGCTGCCCAGTCCGGACAAGGCTGGACTCACTGTGTTACTTCCCGCTTGATCGGTTTGCATGCCGTCAGGTCTTCGAGTTTCTCCAGACTGAAGGCAGTGTCCATTGTTTCTGTACAATGTACAAGCAGCAACGGATTCAGCAAATGTCGATGACACACGAGGAATTGGGACTTGCCACGCCTTATTCTACGAAGCAGCTGCTGCAAACTTGGAGCGGCAGCACAAGTTCCAGCAAGTTGAAGCCATGCATCTCGACACAGTTGTTTGGAGCTTCTGCCGACCCGGGCCAGCCACTCTGTTGACATCTGCTGCCCCATGTTCTTGTCCAGGTACAGAGAGGGCATAGATCTTGGCGCACAGCCTCAGCACAGACTGCAAAGTCGTTTTCGAGAGTTTCAGCGGCGGATGACAAAGCGCGCGGCTCGAGAAGGCCGAGGCTGGCTAGTAGCATGGGGGGGGGGGCAAATTGTTTTTATCAATTCGAGGGGCAGGAGATATTTCGGATCCCTCTCCAGACGCCATGCACTGGTAAGGCCTGTTTTGCTGAATTTTTGGAGGCAGGCCCTCACCTGCCTCCATTCTTCGTTTTTTTGCTTCCAGTATCATTCTTCTCCTGATGTCGGTCTCTTGGAGGGCAAAGAGAGTGCTTCCGAGCTGTGGTGGAAGAATCGGCTTCGTGTCCGGATTATCGGAAGTCCCTATGGCCAAATGCCGGAGCATTTTCTTGGAAAAAAGACTGCAGCACGTATGCATTCAAAAAGCATAGCTTCCAGGTCTGTCCAGCACAGTTCGCTGTCTCAAGTGAATCGACATATAGGGTCTTACAGGTGCCATGCTTCTCTGATCCGAACTACCGGATAGTGTCAAACGTGTGTAAAACTCGACCAACAAAGCACAGTTCATGTTGCTCTCATTTCCTGATGTCGCTTGGCCAATGAGCCTGTGTGTTAACTTGTGCTTGCATTGCCGCTGCTCATTGCAGCGGGGGGAATACATGGATACAAAACAGGATGTAGTCGCAACTTTTGAGCTGTTCCGCCCTGTTTTCCAGTGTGCGGTAAGGCATGGGGGGGTCACGACTTCCCTTGCAGGTCCCCTCTGGTTGTGCTGAAGAAGAGAGAGACAGATAGCGAGAGAGAGAGAGAGAGAGCACGTTTACCGTCGGGCTGCTCCCGCAGGGGCATGCCCTCAAGCCTGGGGAAAGAAAGAGCGTTTCTCACTTTGGGGGTTTATACCATGACAGTCCCGACGATGAAACGTACGAGTTCGAAGATGGTTGATAGTTGATACTCTCGAAATTCATAGTCGAATACTCCAATACACTTCTCTTTCCTTCGGGGGGTGATCAACCATTTTTCACGCCGGCAAAGAAGAAAGAAAGAAAGAAAGAAAGAAAGAAAGAAAGAAAGAAAGAAAGAAATAAAGAAAGAAAGAAAGAACGAGAGATAGAGAGAGAGAGAGAGAGAGAGAGAGTGAGAGTGACGCACAAGTGAGAGTGACAGTGAGAGTGAGAGTGAGAGTGAGGCAGCGTGCAGGCAAGAGAGAGTAGCAGACCGGGACAGAGAGCCCGGCAGAGAGACAAGGAGAGGGACAGAGCGATAGGGAGACGCACCGGAGGCAGCCGGTTTGATCACCTCCTCCTTTTTCTCCCACCTGTCTTTCTGGCAGACCGGCAGAAGCTGCGGGAGCATGCGGAGGTGCAGGCCCAGCCATGTTTGAGGTTTCCATTTGCCTCACTTGACTGGGTTTCCGTATGTTCAGGAAGCTCCCTTGTTGCCGACGCCCCTGGCTGCCACAGATGCGGGTGTGCGGCAAAGCAGAAGCAACCAAACACCTGACCTACCTACTGCGTTTTCTCAGAATTCTTCGGAGATGGAGGCGTCGTGTCGGACGCCAGGCCATGCTGTTCCGAGGTGGAGCTCGTCCACGTTGCAGGAGGAGGAGGAAGAGCTACCGCTTCACGACCAAGCTTTCATCTCGTTTCTGCCCCAGGAAGATGATCTGGACGATGTTTCTGTCGAAGAGATGCAGGCTGCACGGATCTTGGCGCGTCATGCCTGTGGCCTTGCTCCGAAAGCGCCGGAGAACGAGTCGGCTGGACTTCCTTCAAACATGACCCAAGAGTTGTCCAGTGGCCTAAGGGCCATGCTCTCAGAGTCTCGCTACTCACGTGGTCGCTCTTCCGGTGGCTCTGTGTTTGATCCTTTCGACGACCCAACATACACAGCAGAGCTGGCTCAGAAGGAAGTGCTCGAACTTCTGGCCTCCGATCCGAATTATGAACATGCAAGGAGAAATTCGGTGCACTTGAAGCCTCTTGTCCGTGTTGGGCAGAGGTCTGCAAGAGGCGGTGCGAATGTACCTGCCGGGACGTGTGGCTTTGAGATCTTTGACGAAGGTGGCGTAGACCTCGGCTGAGCATTTCGGCCCCTCTAATTCGTTGCGAGGACGTCTCTCAATTCCGACTTTACAAAAGGGCCGCTGTGGTAGAGCCAGGCATAGAAGGGCACGTCTGGCAATCAAGCTCATGCTTTTGAACTTGCAGTGGCGTTATGGCTCCAAGGTTCAAGATTTGTGAATCTGCAGCGCTTCACCCCGGGCTTAGAAAAAAGCCGGACAGTCGAACAGGTACGACAACGGAAACATATGTTCGTGAACTTCGCTTCTGTGCCGGATGTAGCTACACTGGCATGAAGGAGCGAATGCATAGCCCCAGTCCGAAGCGCTGACCAAAGATGCCGCTTGATCGTTCCGCCCCGTCGCTTATCTGCAAAGACAGTGCAAAGATATGACGATGTGACATGATCTGCCCGCCCCTGTAGCAGGCTCAGGCCGTTTGTGCCGGTTAATCCATGGTTTGCCGAGGACACGGTTGCGGACACCATCAATAGATACCGGTAGAGAGCACATTCGCGTCGTGGCTCGGGTCTGCAGGGCTTGGAAGAGTAAGGGCTTCGCAGAAGGCAGCCGCCAGCAGCCAGAACCCCCCCCACAGCTGAGGTCAGAACACAGCAGCTGGTGAACTATTTCCAGACCAATTATAGCAGCTTTCTTGGTGGCAGCTCGCCACAACCAGTCCGAAACGACAATGTGCAATTCTGACTCTAAGCCATGAATGAACTCAAGGTCTTCTAGCCGACCATGGTGCTCCGCAGCCCACGCCGATGTGTGCGCCGAGCTGGCTTCGAAAGTTGAGGATTTGGGCTTAGATGCCTCTGCGAGGTGGCACCACCCTGAAGAGCTTCACATGCGCGTCTCCGCGCCCTCATCGCGACGTGGACTTTGAAGGGCGCTATCGCCCCGCATCTGGTAACGGAAGGACTGGCTGAGCCTCGATTTCCCATTGCTCTGGTTTTGTCTCCACTGGGTCAAACCCCGTGCATCATCAGCGTCTTGCTTGTGCGAGGAGGCGCGATCAAGATCAAGGCCTTGCCGAGACCTAATTATGATGTTCGGCATGTCATCAGCGTCTATAGACATGAAAGCTTAGTAGTTGGGTTATGTTGGGTTCAGAAAGCCCTAACTCATCAAAGACCTGCCCGAAGGTACCACACCAGTACCTCTTTCTGCCCGGACGCAAGGGAGCACGCTGCAGGCCACCCCAGCGACTCCAACGTCCTCTTTAAACGGAGGAGATGCGTGAGTGAGACACCTTTCTTCGCAAGTCAAGGGGCTGGATTCTCTGGGCACCCCAAGCCTTAAACTCCAGAATCGTGAAGGCATGCCGAAGCCCCAAAGTCCTTCCTCCTAACATGCTGTAATATACTTATAATGTACAGTCTGCGTACATTTGAGCTTCCCTCCTGTTGTGAAACTCATAGCTAGGTCCCAGAGTCTCCCCGCGCCAATGGCCGCAACCATCCGCTGAGACTTGGAGAGAATAGAGCCGCGGAAGGGATGCGGGTCTATCGTTCAAAGTGGTTTAAGGTACACTCCTGGACCCAACAGTACGGCCATGTACGGCCGCTTTAGGACGGTAGGTTTCCTCGAACTGTAAGGTACCGTAACTGCCGAACATGTGTAACATTTTGTGACTCTACGGGTTTAGGGTTTAGGGTTTGGGGGCCTTGTGGTGCGTACTTCTGGCATAGATGCTTTCTGATTCCTTTGTTGAACGCCTTGTCCGCATATCATGACAGCCAACAGAGCTGCCCGTCTGTGCATGCCATCGTAAACCTTGGATCTTGAACTGTGAGAGGCTCGAATGTAATGATCGGACTCGCCACACCCAGCTGGGTTTGGGGTTTTGCCGAGGAGCACAAGATCTCGTGGCAAGGTGAAAATTGACTTGAGCAGCTTCTTCTGCAACTTCATGGTTTCACGCTATGATGAATGGTGCGCTGCGTAGCTTCATGACATGCATGCCCAGGAAACCCTATACTAGTTTTTTGCAACAGGTAAAGACTACGTCAAGGATCCCGCTGGAGAGACCAACGAGGCCTCCTCGAAGGCCAGCTTGCTTTTCCTCTTTGACCCTTTTGCTTGACTGTTGCATGCGTCCTCTTTGTGGCAGGATGAGGACGAGCTGAGAAAACGAGAGGCAAGCGAAAGCCTGCCGCTCTGACTAAAACCCCGGCAGTTGAAGACGCCGATTTGTTCAGGAACGTGAACACATCGGATAGAGAGTGGCTCGGTTGCTGAGGCGAATGCTCGTCCTGGGGAATTCAAGCGCGAATGCCGAGCATGCTGATAAAGACCTCCGGCAGCAAGACTGTTCGCTTCTGTGGCAGTTGGGCGCAAAGATACATCCACTTTTCCAGGACTGGGCAGAAAAGCACCGTCGGGGAACCAGTGAGGAGGCTTGTTATAGCTGCTCCCGATTCAGCGTGTCAGCTGAATTCCCGTGTTCAGGTGGAAACATTCTGCCGATGCTGGTGTCAGATGGATGCGGATAATGACGGGGATGTAGAGCTGGAGGAGTTCGCCAATTTCTTCAGCAAGCGGAAAGTGGACAGGTGCTCACCTTCGTGCTCCAGAGAGAGAGCGAGAGAGAGAGAGCAGGGAACTCTGAGGTTGTTGGGGATGCGATGCATCCGCTACCTTATGCCCCGGGTGGCAACTCAAGGCAAGGCCTTGGTTTCCAGGCCTTATTCAGCTACGATTTGATTATCACGGCCTTGGGGTGATGAGCCTTGATCGGGACGACCCTTGAACCCTAGGTCAGCCAAGAGGACATGATGCGGCTTCTGTGGCCTTATGCCGCGACTGAAGACATGGACCACATGTGCATGATCTTCGATCATTGCAGGCCACCGGCTCCTATGTTTCGGTAGTGTTACAGTCAGTGTTGTCAGTCTTATGGTTTGGATAGTCGCTGCTACTTGCGCTACTTCCATCTTGCTTGTTCGTGTGAGAGCTCGATTTTTCACAGCCATGGCCTTTGCAACAATTCGTGGTTTCGTTGCGCTGGATGGAGTTCCACATGCTTTCTTGTGGTTCTTGCAACCAGCTTGTAGAAGGGAAGGAAGCCCAATCCGACTCCAGGTTGTGCACTATAGCAGCTCCGCCACCAAAGCTCTTGCCGCGAAAGCGGCGCACCGAACTTTTAAAGTGTTTCCAGGAAATGGATGGACGCTTGGCATTGGATTAGTCATGCATGCAGATAGCTTCGAGCTTTCAGTTATGCCTTAAACTGATGGGTAAATGCTAGTCTGACTTCGGTGGACTAGCCATGAGCGAAAGCACACGTCCGAAGCGCGTGGCTTGTTGCGTTTGCGCGCGTCGCTGCCTCACTATATAGTCGCCTTACTATATAGTCGCCGGTATTGCTCAGTACTCCATGACTGACTTGACAGCACGGATTTCGTAGACTCGCTGACAGTGCTTGCATGATGTGAGGAAACCACACTGGTTTAGAGCCTTGCTTGCGCATTAAGAGCGCCTGTGCGTGAACTGCCTCCTTACAGTAGCTACAGAACCGAACCAGCAAGGTTCCGTACATCGACTTGATTCCTGCGGGAGTTGCTGACCAGAATATGGTCAAAATCCTGCGTGACAAGTATGACACGACAAGGATGCTCAGTTTCCACCTGCTTTGCCGGCTGCTTGACACAGCAAAATCTCTCCATGTGCTCTGCAGAAGCGGCTTCTTCGACAAGAACTGTTTCTTGGAGATGATGGCACCGTTGGGGTATCGAGCACATGAGTCAATGCGATTTGTTGTATCCTGGACGGCATGAACGATGCATCAAACAGCTGTGGGTTGCATGTCAATGGCGCCTTATCGATGCTGATGCTCTGAGGTATTGAAAGATGGTAAACGGGTTCGCTTCGTCGAGTGGTGCCGGGAGGGACTGCGTTTCGAAGGGTGGCTGAGCCTTTTTGCATTTGGCATGGCATCCTGCACTTTGGTATTTGGACCTCCGTAGAGGTGAACTAGTTACTAGTTAGTAAGAAGTAAGCTTTTGGGCACGACGGCAACCCGCCAAGATCTAATAGTGACACTGAAATCGCAGCGAGATGTAATGATGCGCAACAACAAGGACTGAGAAGCATTACGACAAGTTGAAGGATCATTACGGTTTCGAGAACGATGACAATGATGATGCAGCGGAGGATTAGCTTCCACCTTTAGGACACGGGTTGTAGATTTGTGCACATGTGCACAGTAGGTCTCACTCAGACGTGTTGGTCGTGTGCATGGATCTGTCCTTTGCTGGCCATATGTTCTGTTTGTGCAGCTTGGTCGGGCGCTGTCTAAATGCCAGTGGGCACGACAGGCATGTGCAAAAAGGCGCGTCATGCATTGACGCAGTGTCGTGAATCAGGGCAGCAGTGTGCATGGGATAGAGCTTCGACAACTTGATTTGTGACAGCTCCGCATGAGGGATTGTGACAGACTGTCGTTCATTACTTCTCGCAACATGTGGCTTTGGGAGTGTCAAACTGGATCCCCTTTTTCCGTTTCCAGCGGCTCTTCCGCCTGCAGGGTCTGGTCGCAGACAGGGTCTTTTTGGGCTCCTTTGTTGGATCTTTGTCTGGCTTTGTTTCCTTGGCAATCGGGGTGGCGATGATGTATTTCCTAGGTTGTCCCGGGAGCAACAGGAGCTCCTCACGAGGCTGATACTGGCATAAGCTCTATTTGGTCGGGGATTCGACGAGGTCAGCAAACCGTCATGCGAGAGTAGAGCTTTCGCCCCAAGTGCTCGCAGCCAGTGATTGATCAACTTCACGTCTTGGACTTCTGAATTGCAGTTCATGATGCTACTGTTCATGCATGCGAGAGTATGCGAGACAAATCAAACAGCACTCCAGACCGACCCATCCCTGTGACGGAGAATTTTAGGGTCTCAGGTCTGCTATATGAGCACATCGCATGAGAACGGCCAATACGGCTAATTGCCACACATGTTTGGAAGCCAAGCAGTGTCCTTTGCTCGCCTTGTGGACCGCCATTGTAGTGCCTGCTGCAACAGTGAAACATGAACGATTTCTGACCTGCTCTCTTTGCTTGCGGCCTCGTTTTGTTCACAGCAGCGCAGCAAGAACATGCGGAGAGGGCATGGGTCTACAGCAGACTGTGCGACCGTCAATCTGTCTTTCGAGCATGGCAGAAGACTTCACGAGACAGTGCGCACGCATTGAACTAGCATTTGTCGAGATTTAGGCCGCACTCTTGTATAGTAACACAGGGACCTTGTGATGGAGGTTCTGGTGTCGGCCCATCCTGGCATATCAGATGACTGCATCGCATCGGCCTCAGGAACGCTGTCCGAAAGCCACCGGTCTGTGCAGTAGAAACCCGTGAAGATGGACTGTTGTTGCGCATGCTCTGTGGCTTCAAGTTCCCAGACTGACAGAAACAGGCACGACCAGCCAAGGTGTCGGTTCGCTGCGGAAGCACTCGGAGACAGGTCCAACTAGATGGATCCGTGCGGACAGTTCCCAGCCATGATGCGAATTTCACCTGAGTCTGGCAGAACATGACAGCGCAGGCGCCGCTCGACATTGCAAGGTGTCAGGCTCTGAAATTTCCGAGCCTTGAGCTTAGAATTAGTGACGGAGTCCTGTCTTTGTGTGCTGGCTGGCATTCATAGCGAATGCCTTGGTTCGGACTGCTTCCTGTGCTTCAGGCAACCTGGAAACCCTCAATGAGCCGTCGATGACCCAGCACTGTCATTGCCCGACGTTCGCGGCATGACTTCAGAGCCTTCATTCAATGTCACAGTAAGAGTATCGATACAAGTAGAAATCAGTAAACTGATGGTTGTAGTCGCAGGGACCTTAGCTTGTTTCGTTTTGTTCTAGAGTTGCTAACAGGTTGAAGATCGATGTGCTCAAGCCCGTCGCCTCGGCACGCCTCGTCTTGCATCCGCAGCAGGCTTGAGAAGGGACTTCAGCCTGTGCTGATTGAACTGGTACAGTCTGCGTCTTGACGAGTGACATCAGAAGGGCAAAGCAAACACCGGATACACACCCCATTTATAGTTTGCATATACATAATTTACACAAACAAATAAATACAAACAAATAAATAAATGCAGTGCCCTGACCTGCCGAGTGCGGGCGTCGGAGAGGGTTGGAAAAACAAATGTACTATAATATATATATATATATATGTATATGTATATGTATATGTATATGTATATGTATTGTATAATGTATATGTACATACACATGCACACATGCATGTCATCAGACATATAAAGTATGTATGTATGTATGTATGTGTATATATCTGTATATATATATATATATATATATATATAGCCTCGCAACATGTGGCTGCCGTGTCTAGCAACAGCCACTTTAAACCAGGATGAATATTTCATGAATTTTCTGGACAAGCCCGGTATGGCCATTGGACTCAATGTGCAGCACGGAGCTTGGCACATCATGATGTTCTTGCCCGTTCCAACGGTTCTTGCCTGATAAGGCCTGCCTCGCAGACGTCCGAGGGTGGTGCTGATGCAGGCAATGAAGAGAGATGGTTAAGCAGGGATGGCAGAATGTCTCCGACTGAGCAAGCGTGCCTCAGTGTCAGCGAGGCGGTTTCTGAACTTACACCCCGAGACCCTAAAATCCAAACCCCCAAATGCCTGAGTCCTGAGATGCAACAAACTCCCACGGCCCAACACGCCTGCAGTCCTAACTAAAGCTTTGGACAGGAACCGCCGGGCATCACCCGGGCAGGACACCGCCGTGCTCGCTCATTTGCTGCCCATGCAACCGTAGAACGGCACTTTGGGCCTGGAGCGGGCTCAAGGTAGCTTCAATGTTGACAATTTGCTGCAGACCGGTTCAGGCGTTCATTGCATGTGGTGTAGCGAAGCTTGGCAGGAAGCAGGGCCAAGCACAAGGTCCTGCGTCTGCTCGGGACTACCTAGAGCTGCATGGCGTGCTGAAGTATGCCTGCGCCTCAAAGACACTGGCTGGGAGAGCTCAGGTGCTGAATGGTGACTTTGCGAGAAGGCTTCAGGATTGGAGAGCGGACAGTGTAGAAGAGCAAGTCTCGATGCTTTCGGGGTCTTTGGCTTCTCCTGTTCCCGGAGGTTCTGTGGTGGGACACGCAAGAGCGTTTACTCGGTTCAAGGTTTTCAAGACAAAAGAATGTCATCGCGGTCATCTCGTAGAATAATGGGGCAGCGCAGCGACATGCCAGTCCAACGCCGCCTTCTACTGCGTGTGTGTCGCGGGGATCTCCAAACCCGAGCAAGCATGAGTCGGCCTTCGTCCTTCGAGCCCTCATCGGTTGACTGGGACCTGCAGGAAACACCTTTTGTCGGGCACTGCGCAGCTGAATGCTCGAGAGCTGACGCCTTGCTGCCAAGGTTCAGAGCATGCTCACGGCTTTGATCCAAGCTAAGCCGAAGGACACGAAGTGAGCACTCGACGTTCGGCTCCGTTCATAACTGCTCCCATTCGTCTTGCAGGATCCTTACGACTTCATGCTGCATCAGCTGTCCTCCTCCACGTCCTGTGCATCTGCAAGGCATCCTTGAATCCTGTGAGCGGCGGGTCGAGTCGTCTGGCTTTTCCTTTTGCGCTCCGGGCTCCGTGGTGCAGGCAGCCGGAGACCGGCGAAGAGGCACTTCGGGCAGACGTCGCTTGCCCGGAGGTCCCGGTGAGTCCTCCAAAGCACGGTGCTGAGCTTCTGCTATGCTGCTAAGCTGCTGATTATCCACAAGGTGTGCCCTTGTGAGCCCCCCTCGCCATGGACGTGTCGGCTCGAGCGTTGGCAAGGGCCCCATCAATCTTCCGGCTCAGCCCGATGCAAACCGGAACCGTGAAGTCATACAATCCCCACAAGGGCAACTTGGTGGCAACAGGTCGTGCATGCTTGCAGGAGAAAAGCCCAGAAGCATCTGCAGACGTCATTGGCTTTCAAGATGTTGGCGACAATCCTTGAGGTTGGGGCTTTGTGGAGTGCAACGGTCAGGACAGCTTCCTACACAACAAGGAGCTGAAGGGGCAATGCCCGTCAGCGTCTTGTCTCACAGACTGTCTCGAGATTGCTAGAACCGAGATTGCTAGAGCCGCAGCTGTTGCCTGTTGCATTCTTCTCGTTACCCAGGCCGGTGATCAAGTTTCCTTCAAAGTGGAGCCGTCAGAGAAGGGTACGGTGGCAACGGAGGTGGCAGTCCAAGTGTCCTCCGAGGAGGCGAGCTCTAAGATGAGATGGCATGGCATTCTTTTGGAAGTGTGTCTGCATCTGCGTCACTCTGTGACCGCGCTCGCACCATTGTTAGAGGCATTCTACGCTGGCGAAATCAAGCGCTTTAATCCTGCGGCCACCTCGGGGTCCAAGCGCTTTCTGTTCACCGTCTGAGTCCATTTTGTTCAATCACATGGATGGCCCAAGGTCAAGGGATATGGTTTCATCTCTTGTGAAGCATTCCCCGAGCAAGATGTATTTGTGCTGAAGTCCGAGCTGCCGCAAGGCTGGAGCGTGAAAATGATTAGATCCAAAGACAAATGTCTCGTTGTTGCGCAGGTTTTGGCCCAGAGGGAGGCCGTTGCAAGTTCAAGGTCGCGAAAGAGGAGAAGGGGCCGGCGGCGAAGCAGGTCCAGCTGCTGGGAGCCGCCGAGCAGATGAGAGCTTGGATGGGTTGGGGGAAGGGATGGGGGAAGGGCTTCGGCTACAGCTGAAAATGGTGGAGAAAATGGCATGGAAGCTGCCGTTGCGATGGCAGTTGATTCCTGGGTGAGGTATGTAGCATAGCACAGGCTGTGGTTCTGGTGAGCGCCTATAGCAGGAGCCAGGCATGCGAACATGGCCACAAAAGCTGGCCAGCTGTACAAATCACACCGTGTGGAAGCATCAAAAAACCGGCGTGTGGTGCAGCCCTTGGGACGTTTTGCAGGCTCTACTTCGAATGTTTGAGGCCACAGGATGACTTGCCGGTGTCGCCAGAGCCGCCGCCAGCCGAACCCTCAAAGGGGCCTGCAGACAGCCTCGTCATGCTCATGGGATTGTCCGTCTGCTAAGGGAAATCCATTCCACCTTCCGGGCAGCAGGGCCGGCAGTGACCACCAAACTCAAGAAACTCCGGCCGCAGCTCCCCCGCCTGCAGAGCTCACCGAACCCGCGCCAGTGCCGGTAGCGGCCTGGCAGGATCCCGCGGAGCCCCCCGGGACACAAGCTGACACCCAGAGCACCCAGCGAGAAGCGCTGGCAGAGGATGCCACTGCCAGAACTGTGCACTCAGAGGAAGTGCGGATCTTAGCAAGCTGCTAACAAGATGTTCTTAGGAGCGTCGTTGGTGGTGCACGCGGCAAGTTTGCAGTGCATGTCAGGAGGCGTCCCGCATTCGTTTGCAAACTGCCCGGATGCCCAGCGAGCTTGCGACTTGCGATGCTAGGGATCAGGAATGGACATGGAATGGACCATTCCTGGAACCTTTGGCATGCGCAGGTCCTGCTCAAGGCTGGCAGGAACGGAGTCTTGGAAGAGATCTTGCAGGACAGTTGGAATCGCGGAAGTTTCTGAACTGGCCTGGCAAGAAGCATGCATGGTGCAGGGCTATGCAGTACAGTAGCCATCTTGTCACGCGACCTGACCGGGCTCGCAGAACCTATTCCGCTCTCCCGCATGCTCTTGCGAGCTGAGCTCGCAACAGCTTGGCCGAATACCAAGCATATCCGCTGGTTCTGTCTAAGTTTTTCCGGTACTTGTTGAAACTCACCTGAGGTGGGCACAAAATCGGCCCAACTCCGCTCGTGATGGACGAGCAGACGGAAAGCGGTAGAGTAGGCAGGAGCGATGAGGGATGCCGCGTTCTCGCCGAGAATGTCGTGTGACGGTTCAAGCGGTTCCGAGGCGAAGGTGATGCCACCCAGCTTCGTGCTCATGTGCGCGAACGGTTGACGAATGCATGGACGACTGGTGAGTTGAAGCAAGCCGTGCAGGAGGCAACCACAAGAGAATCAAGATGTGGGTTGTCACTGTGTGGCAATGTACGGGTAGCAAGTGATTTCCTGCAGGCTTTGGAGCACAACGGACCAAAGATCGCAGAGGTGAGAGTCGTCGGTGCGAGCTGAGTGAGTTCGGTGGCACAAGCAGAGCCGGTCCTCTGAATTCTTGCTGGTTTTTGCGGTGCTGGGCCAGGCGACGGCAGAGCAGAGCATCCAATTCCTGCAGGACACTGTGTTGCAAGAGATATGTGTACGAGATTGTACGAGATGCGCTGCTCTTGATATGTTCGGCGGAATATTCATGAGAGGACGAGATCAAGATCATGGCCGAAGAAAGCAAGCTCTTACATGAGCAGGCATGGATGGAAGTTTAATGTCGTTGTTTGGTTTTGTTTTGTTGCAGCATGCAACATCCCTGAGACTGACCCCAGGTTGATAGATTAAGCTCCGAGATGCAGCGACTGCTGCTGACAAATCAGCAGTGGCCGGGCCGCATTAAGGAGTTTCACAACCTGCATTGTGACACATTGCAAACGCACGCAGCATACACCTCGAGAGATGTCGGATGCGGTAGCGTGGATAAAGCCTACAGTCGCTGAGGCTTCTCAACCAGATCCAAAACGGAGAATCTGCGGGCAAGCCCTGAGCGCCGCAGAGCGGCGCCCTCGCCCTGAAACCGCTGAACTGACCATGGCACATCGGATCATCGTGTGCTTGTAATTTAGTCTCACAAAGCAAGGCGTGAGCGTGAGCTCAGTAACCTCAACGAGCTCGTCTGCCTTTTCTCTGTGTAGAGGGGACGGAACTCGTGTAGAAGTAGCAGCTTTTACGTCGGGTACGCTGCGAACAGACACTGCCTTGACCCGGAAACATCGTCTCTCTGTCCGTCTAAGAAGGAGCTAGGCCGCTAGGCCTAGGCAGGACAGCCCAAGTCTGCGTATGTTCATGTTGCGAAAGCAGGCGTGCTTGCCGCTGCCATCTCTGAAAGGACCTGTGGAACTGCTGTTTGCGTCAGAGTCCAGGTTCAGGGCTAACGGGAAGGTGGAGTAGATCTTGGAGGCCTCAAACAGAACACCGCGAAGCCCTCGTACGGGGCTGAAGCTTCAGTACGCCTGCTGCAGATGGCCGCCGTTCCGATCCTTAGCATACAAGCTCATTTGTGTTTGTGCACCGAGTGGAGAGCGCGCAGAGGTCCACCTGTTTCTTGCTTCCTCCACGCAGGTCTATTTTCTCCTCCTTGGAGTTTTGCCGAGGAGTTCCGGGTATCTCAGCATTGTCCCCCTGACCGCGTTGCTAGCTTATCAGCCTTTCCGGCCACGTTCGCATTGCGACGGCTCTGCAATTACAAAGCGGGGTCTGACAGATCGTGGCTTGCATGCCTGCGAGCTTGATGGCCACGGACAGGAGTTGCAGAGAAGTTGAGAACGATGCCTGGGCAGCGCAAGGCTCCGAAGACATCAGGAGTCCCAGCACCGAGCTGAGTGTTTCACTGCTCCATTCTGCTCCAGTACTCCGATTTGGTTAGTCACTGGTGCTTCTCGCCTGTCCCTCCCGAACTTCTCGCTGCATGTCGGCTCGAGTGTTAGCAAGGGCCCCATCAATCTTCCGGCTCAGCCCGATGCAGACCGGAACCGTGAAGTCATACAATCCCCACAAGGGCAACTTGGTGGCAACAGGCCGTGCATGCTTGAAGGAGAAAAGCCCAGAAGCATCTGCGGACATCATTGTTTGACTTGCAAAGCTTTGGTACCGACCTTCGAGGTTGGGGCTTTGTGGAGTGCAATGGTCAGGACAGCTTCCTACACAAGAAAGAGTTGAAGGGGCAGTGCCCATCGGCGCCTTGTGTTGCAGGCAGTCGTGGTGTAGGCTGCAGCTGTTGTTGGTTTCTTCCCAGTACCCAGGCTGGTGATCCGGTTTCCTTCAAAGTGGAGCCGTCAGAGAAGGGTACGGTGGCAACGGAGGTGACAGTCCAGGTGTCTGCCGAGGAGGCGAAATGCTAGACGGTCTCGCGGGCATTCTCTCGGAAGTTCTGCATGACCTGAATTCTGAGCTATCCACAGTTGCATGAGGCGTCCTACTTGGGTGAAATCAAGCGCTTTAATCCTGTGATCGCCTCGAAGATGCAGTTGCTGATGGCCGCACCAATTGCATGCACGGATGCCCAGGTCAAGGGGTATGGTTTCATCTCCTGCGAAGCGTTCCCTGAACAAGACGTATTCGTGTTGAAGTCCGAGCTGCCGCAAGGTGGGGACGGCGATAGCTCAAATGGTCTGAGAGTTCCTCGTATCAGGGATTTTCTCTGCAGAAACCCCACGTCCCACCTGCTTCCACGGTCTTCCATCAACGAACTTGCGCCACACGGATCATGCGTAGATCCCCTGAACCAGCCGAAGCTGCACTCGACAGAACCTGCCCTGCACCCTACCACTTTAGCAGACCTACACTGCAACATTACAGCAAGGCCCAGTCATGCACAGCTAGTCTTGCTCTTTTTGCAGCCGACCTTTCGAGATGCTTCGCAGGTTTTGGCCCCGAGGGTGGCCATTGCAAGTTCAAGGTCACGAAAGAAGAGAAAGGGCCTGCAGCGAAGCAGGTCCAGCTGCTTGGAGCTGCTGGGAATCAAGCTCAACAGATGAGATCTTGGATGGGCTATGGCGGCTATCCTATGCCCTTCATGGACTGGGGGAAAGGCTGGGGCAAGGGGTGGGGGAAGTGAATGCACGCCGAACCCCAGCATACGTCTCGTGGGTTCCTGTTCCAGGAATTGTGCCCTGTAGGCCCTAGTGAAGACTGATGCAGCTTAAGTGCGTGCGCGGTCCGAAAAGGCAAGCGGTTTTGACTTCCAGATTCTACGGTCTTACTGGTCGCCTGGTTCCAGAACTCTTCGCGAACCTGACCGCCTGACCGCTGTCGGTATGAACCTGATTGGTGGGCTCGAGATGTTTCAAGCACTTTTCAGGCCACTGACAAGCCGCCCAGTCACTGTGTATAGAACTGGGTAGCCGTCCATAGCTCAAGCCATGCAGACTGGCACCATCAAGTCTTACAATCCTCACAAGGGCTTCTCGGCGAAGTGCGTTCTTGTGAGAGCAGGAAGCATTGCAATGCAGATCGTCATCCGTGCAACGCAAAGGTTGGGGGTTCATTGAGTGCAATGGACAAGACACCTTTGTGAACAAGAAGGATCTGAAAGGTTATTGCCCGTCGAAGGGGAATCAGGTGCAGTTTGAGGTGACGCAGTCTGAGAAAGGAGCCCAGGCGGCCCATCCTCATGTTGCTTCGAACTTGATTTATATATTATATATATATATATATATATACATATATACATATATATATATATATATATATATACGTATTATATGTTGCCTTCTCTAAAGAGGCCACGAACGTGACGGTCCTTGGCACTCCGGAAGAGCTCAGCTACTTCGGCCAGATCAAGAGCTTCAACCCCAACAAGGGTTCCGGCCCGAGGAGCGGGCGCCGATCTCGGCCAATCTTTTCCTCGATGCATGTGCTTCTTGCCGAGGTTATGGCTTCATAACTTGCGAGGCCTTCCCGGGCAAAGACATCTTCGTGCTGAAGTCGGAGCTTCCGGCAGGCTACGGACCCATAGGTGGCCAGTGCAAGTTCAAGGTGCAGGAGGAAGGAAAAGGGCCGTCAGCAAGGGACGTGATGCTGCTCGGCTCAGCAGGCCAGCAGGCACAGCAGATGAGCTCTGCCATGACATATGCCGATCCCGGCTATGGGGGCAAAGGGTGGGACAAAGGCTGGGGGAAGGGGGGTTGGGATTTTTGGGATATGGATGGAAAAGGCGGCTACGGAGGCTACGATCCCTGGATGGGAATGATTCCCCCACCTTGGAAAGGATATGGCAAAGGCTATGGTTGGTGAGCGCTTGTAGCTGAGTCCTCGCCCATGTGGCCACAACAGCTGGCTACCATGCAAGAAAAACACTCGAGCCAGGATGCACTCAGATTCTCAATTACACGTTCCGGGGCCGTGCGGTGTCCTCTTGACAACGTTTCAAGGTCATGCGACGAGTCGAGCAGCCGCCACAGGGAACACCCTGCTGGAGGTGCACATCGCTGCGTGACACTGCATTGTCAGTGCTGCAAGGTGTTGCTGAATCTCTAGTCTGGAGGTCGACCACAAATACCTTCGAGCTTGCAGCAAGGCCACAAGAGCTTTTTGTTAGATGCCTTGCGGCTATTGTCCTTCGCCAAATTACCAGGCTGAAGGCTGGGACCAAGTACGGATGTGCTAGCATGCAGGTGAGATTGGCTTGTTGTTGTGATACACGCTTTCCTTTGCGAAGGCAGTTCCAGGGAAGGAAGGTTTTGTCTAGCCGTCTAGCTTCGAGGCTGCGGCGACGACTGGCTGAGAGAGGATTTTGGAGCGGGCAACTTTCAGGACAAACAAGTGCACTGAACATGCTGCTACAACACACCTTGTCACAGTCAAAACATAGACACAGGCTCAGTTCTTCATGAGTCATGGCGTCTATCCAAGCCTTGCCGGCTGTCCGCAGGACCACGCTGCTTCTGCGAAGAACCTCGAAGCTTCTTTTGATCGTGTTCCCGAGGAGCTTGTGGCGTGCTGCTGTGCATAGAATGGCATAGAACGCAACCACTCATTGCTTTGCTTCACCCTGATGCACGGGTAGAGGCATCCGACGACGGAGATCATGACCACAGAATATGGTCCGAAAAGAAAACAGGAGAAATGGCATGTTGACTTTGTCGACGCTGTGGCCATCACACTTTCCACAGGGGCTCATTCTCAGCCATCCATCGGTCGTAATCAAGACGATGTAGGCTGCAGGGGAGCAAGCCGTGGAAGGACTTGCAAATCAAGAACCAGAAGATGGAAAGCGATGTATTTGAGGGTTATCTAATGTCAAGAACCATGCCGGAACAGGGACATCACCAAGGTGGTGTTTCGCCAAAGGTCATCAGTCGAGTTTCGGAGTGCGAGATTTGTCCGGCATCAAGCTGCATCAAGGAGGCATGGGGTCGCCATAAGAAGAGGGCCGAGCCGTTTCTCGTACCGCCCCGTTCGACGGTCGAACTGCATCGTCAAGAACATGGCCACCTTTTTGCAGTTCATGTCTTGCACTGGGTGATCGCGCAGCTGTTCGGCAGTCAAACGTTTGAGCTTCCACCACTGCAGATCGCAGCCTCCTGATGGACGACCTACATGTGATGCTATCCGCACAAGATGATGCAGCGGACTAACCTTGTGGATGTCCGAACAAAGTTCAACGATCTGCACCGCTTTGACAAACCAGAAGCTCGCAGAACGAAGACCGGGAAGCCCCAATGAGTTTTGCACGACCCCCCCCCCCGCCCCGGGACCCAGCTGTAGGCCTAGCCGGGACACTGTCGTAGCGTGATCATGGAGCTGGCTGTTCTGGAAAGGCAGCTGCTGGTAACATAAGAACGTTAGACATCAATCACGGCACGCCGTTACAAGGCGTTTGTTTCAGCCACGTGCTACTAGATGCAGTCTTGCCGCTGACTTGACTTGCTGAGCCCCAGGACGTCCACTGGTGACTCCATGGTTTCGCCCTTGGCTTTTGAAAGTTTGATGGCAGCCGTTAGCACCTGGCAGGCTTGCTTTGGTTCGTTTTCACGTTTTGGTGGCAGTCGAGTGCGAATGTGGCAGCGGTTGGTTTGTGTCATAGGAAGGAGGGGTGGCGAGCTCGAAAAGTTACAGATTGGGGAACCTTCTCAGTAGAGGTGAGGTGGGGTTCCGGCTCCGACAGGCACACCATGAGAGGGCTCCTTCACTCTCGCATTTATTAATTTTCTCACGGCCTGACTTTAGTCTACTCAGCAGCTCCTTCCCCACGCTTGCTTAGCCAGCTTCCTCCCCGTCACCCATACTCGCCCACTCTCTCCCCCGCCCACTCGCTCCCTAGCTCGCTCTTCTCCCTCACTCGGTGTTCTCCCTCGCACCCGAACTCACCTTTTCCGCGTGCCGCCCACCTACTCAATCAGCTCACATGAAAGCTCTCTCGTTCACTCGCTCCACCCACAAGATGAACTGGCACATTGATCATTTACTGTTTCCCCTTTCGCGCATTCTGCCTCGCCCTTGCCACTCAATCACTCTATTCATCTACTCCGTTTTGCCACTCATTTCCTGTGTGCCTTGGCAGCTTTTTGGGATCAGCATGGATCAGCACTTCCTAGCAGTCACTCACTCGCGCACTCCCCTGCTCGCTCCCTCCTTCCCCTCCTTCACTCAGCATCGTTTGATTTTTCGACTTCGAGCCTCCAGCTGCTGCTGCTGCTTCTGGTTGCGGTGCTGTTAGTGCTATTATCGGTTGAAACCACGACATCCTTCGCGAGCGCCGTGAAGGTGTCAGGATGTGTCATGCGTCACGTTGCATGTGGCTATATGTGGCTTCGTGGGCCGAGGCCAAGACATGATCTGCATGCCGATCGCGCCGCAGCTTCTCCGAGGAGGGTCGACGAGGCGGCGGGGGAGGCAGAATCGCAACCTTTGTTTATACTATTGTTTGCTACTGTACTAATTCTGTCACTGTCGAGCTGTTCGCTTGAGCAGGCCCTGGTGTCCTTTCGCCTGGCTGGCCTCAGCTCCGCTGGGAGTTAGAGCGAGGATTCCTTGTGAGCGAAGCTGGGAATCACAGGTCTGCCTTGGAAGGCCAAGGTGTTTTGAGTCCCACGTCCAGGGCGTGCACATACGCGTCATCTCTCCTTCAAGAGGAGCCCCATCTGTAGAAGTGGGATGAAGTGGGACTTCCGCGTCGACTTTGCTGCAAACAGAGACGACACGTGCACGATCGGCCATAGTGTTGAGAAAGTTGTTCTTCTTGCTGCGGTCCCACCTTGAGCCAAGCGCTTGCCGCTGCAATTTCAGGGAAGACTTGCGTAAACACAATAGTGCAAGGGCGGAGGACTTGAGGTGTACTGCAGCAGACTCGAAGGTGTCAGGCTGACAGAAACCGTGAAGCCAGCGCAAACCTCTACCGTGACTCTACTAGTTCTCCATTGCAAGAAATTGGTCAAGACCGGGTGCCCCATCTCCCTTTTCGGCTGCTGCGCCGCAGATCCTTGGCGCCCAGGCCGGCGCTCTCCAAGCAGTAGGGTCTTTTTTGTCATGTTTCGGATTGCTCTTGAACTGCGGAGGTTCGGCTTCCATCCAAGTGACTACCAAGGCAGGAGCTCTTTCGTTTGCCTGTGGCGTTCCGAAGCCTGTTTGGTTGCCGTTCGCTCGGTCAGGTCGGGCTCGGCCCTGCACATGCGCAGGTCCTCTGGGCAGAGGCACACCTGCCTTCTATCCAGGTATGGGGAGATATGGGGAGTGAGGGAGGGACGAAGCAGAGGGTTTCGATGGCACCAGGCCTCAACTTGGACGCCACCATGGCATCGCAGATGCAGGCCCTCGCAGAAATTTCTGGGGCAGTACCGAGGGTTTCGGTAGGATAGCAGTTCCTGTGATAGTCTTTGCAGGCTCAAAAAGAGCTGCGGCGAACAAGCTCAAAGCTGGAGTCGCCACTTGGCTGCCATGTAGGTCACGAGTCACGATCGATGCATCCCGATGCCATGTTCTTATCAGAGCTCTTCAGGAGGCAAGGGGGCTACCAGCTTGTTTCAACCTGCCCCTTCGAGTGTGACAAAAGAAACGGCTCGGGCCTTGCAATTCGATTGCGTGTTGCAAGAGTTGCAGAAGACTGAGACGACTTGTCTGCGCTCGGCAGAAGCATAAGGGACTGAAGACGACAAGAAGAAGGAGAAGAACGATCTCGAGGCTGCGGCTGCGTAAGAAAACACTCAGGCTGAAAACTGCATTGCAGCTTGTGCCAAGGGCTTTGCGACCATTTTCGGCGACAACAAGATTCTTACAAGCCTGTCGCAGCCCCATGCATGGGGGCTGAGTAGAAGGGATCCTGCAGCCGTGTGCTCAGGTTAGTCGTCTTTGTTCCACTGGGGCTCATGGCACACCAGCTGCACTGGGCCGACACTTATGCCCGGCACCCAAGTGAAGTCCCAACTTCATTTAATTCTCCCTGCAAAGCAACCACCTCGCCTGGCAGGTGTTCTCCTTCAACTTTCTTGCGATCATCCCGCTGGCATGGCTCATAGGGAAAGCCACAGAGGCAAAGGTCGAAGACTGTTTTGGGGCCTCGGCTTCGGCTTTGAGCCTCTCCGGTCAGGATGTGGCCGCCAGGATAGGGGAGACGGCTGGTGGTCTTCTGAATGCAACCTTTGGCAATGTGGTCTGGAACCCGTGCATTTTGGGGCCTGCGCTTTTTTTTTGGGGGGGGGCTCTAGTGCTGAAACCGCATCAGCGCAAGGTCGAGATGCTGCTCTGCATTGCACACCCCCCAGATGCGAGGAGTCTAGAGTCTAGAGCTGGTTTGGCTCATGCTCGGGTGGTCAGGCCGGAATTCGCAACAACGAAATCAGCGTTCCTTGACGGCACCTGAAGCATTCGCAGTGTGATTGCAGAGTCTGCGAGTCCAGAAAGTCCATGTCGAGCAAATATCGCGAGCCATGCGAGCCACCAGAACCACAGGTTGTCCAATGCACGCTGCTTGGGTCGGGAGCTCAGACGTGATTCCTTCTGTGGCATACGATAACGCTACGCGGTCAGGTCTATCCTCAGCAACCTATTGCTGGTAATGGGCCAGCTGCCCAACAGATCGAGACTGCAGCGGGAAAGGGTTAATAGGGTAGGGCTTCCATGCCCGAGGCTGTGCCTTCCTCTTCGGCGGCCTCTACTACCCGATCCAGCGGTATAATCAGGCGCCGGTCCTTTCAAACACCACTCTGGTGAGGGTAGTAGGGGGGTTTTGAACCGACTTCGGTCGAGGCCGGGGCTGCTACGCAATGCTCTTTGATGGCCGCTGTCTTGAGAGTCCTGTGAGTCCCACGAGTAGCGGTCCGGGCGACCTGCACAGAAGATGCTCTGAGGCCCTAAGTGTTTTCGCGATTGGTTTGCCGACCATCTATGTCAACGTGCTCAAGCAGGCTACACTCCGAACTTACGTGCCAATGCTGCTGCAAGCAGTGAAGTCGGGCCAACAAAAATCTGGCAGCCGCAGGAGTCTGAGTGGGAGCACATGGTGGAGGTGTCACGATGGGCGGCTACCCGAGACATCAGCAGCTAAAGCATGTACGCCACGGGCAAGGAAAGATGTCGAAAGCACAACTCTGAGGCTTCGGTGTGCCTCCTTGGCGTCTATTTTGCGCGAGGGTCTCAGTTGCTCTCTGATCGCAACTGCCATGTCTGCTATGCGCATCCTGCCAGGTATTTGGTGTTCCAACTAAAAACGCACGCAAGCCTCTTCCAGGACAGACAAAGACCCCCCCCCCCCCCGGCGCCTCGTCGCTGCGTCACATGTACAGAAGACTTCCTTGAGGACGAAGGCGAAGGCGAGGGCGAGGAGGAGCCAGCTCTGCTCCTGTACTAAATCGGTCCTGTATACTGCTGTATACCCTATCCAAGCCCCGCAAAGCCTACACATAAACCCCAAACCGTCTGCGGACTCCGTCCTCCCCATCAGGAAGAGGAGCCAGACCTAAGCCCAGTCACGGCAGCAATTTTGCTGCTGGCCACTTCCTCAGCGCTTTTGTTTTTCATTCTGGCCTTGTCGCTGTTTCAATAGCCTCTTGCAGCGAGAGGTTTGCACCGTGGTTACATCCTATGCGACCGACGCCCTCATTGAAGCCATCAAGGTTGGAGTGGGCAAATGGTGTTGCAACACGACAAAAATTGAGTTTGAGGAAGTGATTAACTGAACTCTGCAGCAGAACAGGGGACGATTGATGAGTGGAAAGTGTCCAAAGAGTACCAAGCTTGGTTCTGCTTGTTGCATGTGGTGCTCTTGTTGTTCAGATTCGACATGTGTGATCGAGGTTCATTGGCATCATCTTGCTGCCAATAATTGGTAACGCTGCCGAGCACTACACTGCAATCAAGGTCAAGCCGCCAACCTTCTCGCAAGAGCCATTGCGCCCACCCTGACATTCTGTGTGCGTGTGTGCGCCAGGTAGCTATGCAGAACAAAATGGACCTGTCCCTTGGTGCGGCTGCCTCATGCTGCCTCACTGGGTCGTGGTGTCTTCGGTTCCTGGTTTTGACCGTGATCACTGATCACTCTACCAAGGTAGCTGCAGGGTCGTCATGTCAGATGGCTCTACTCGCCCGGAACCTGAGTTGTAGGTGGTTACGTACACACTGTCGCACTTCGTCAGCTGGACTCGGTAGTCGAAATGGCAAGAAGATTGAATGCACTACCGCCCCATACACAGCACGAAGCCGCGGTGGAACTCCGAGGTGACGCCTTTTACTGTCTTGGTGGGATGGTGCTATGGCTGGATGCCCAACCATCCGAATAACCTGCAATGCCAGGTGCTGCATTGTCTCAACTTGAGAGCTGCATGCATTCTGCATATGGTTCTAAGGCACAGAGATGACCTTGAACTTTCACGCGTTCCAACTTGCTGCCTGTGTGCTCAGAGTGACCAGCTGGGCTCAGCACCTAGCCCACATCTTCACTGACTGCTAAGGTACTTCTATTCTCGGTCTTCCTGGTCAACTCAATTTTAAACAATGGCCAGTCGAACTGGTTGGAGGCCGTGCATACAGCAATTCTGGGTCACGGGACTTGCCTAAAAGTGCCTGGACTTCACGCATAGACTACATACAGTTCATGAACTGTGGTCAGGTTTTTGTGTGTTCCCCATTTCTTGACACTCGATAAGTTTCGGAAAGCAGCTCACAACCCCGAGTCCATGCTGGAACCAACAGATGCCTGTGCCATTCAGGGCTACATACTCCTCGTAACATACTTCGTGGTTTCACTGATCTACTTCTTTGAGGGCCGCTTCCTTAGCTTCGGCTGCTCATCGTTTCTGTTTTGGTCTGGAGCTCGTGCACGCTCCGCTGTAGCAGCCAAGGTACCGAGAATTCCCTCGCCCAGTGGCTGAGCATTTTTGCGCGTCTCGCAGGAGTTTCAAAGATTTGACTTCTCAATCCCTGAGGCTTCAGAGGCCTGAGGCAGCGGCCCTGGCGGCATCGGCAAATGCGCAAGTGTTGGAGCGGCTTTTGTAGAATGTACTCTGGACACAATAGTAAGCACACTAAACCCTTAGTGAATAGTCCATAATGAGTGGCATGATATGTCCTAATGACTTTACGTTCGTGTCCCATTTGACTTCCGTTCGTTTGGGAGCTTTGTCTCGCCCGTGTTTTGATCAGAGACGGTGAACAGGTTTGGCATGACAGGTACGGGGTAAGGCAGGTTTAGTAAGGCTGGCTTGGTCATGCAGTTGCCTGCTACTGCTACATCGTGCAGCACGCAGACAAGCGAACAGCACTGGCGGAACGAAGCGTCGCAAGAAACTCCGGAGCAGCAGGTCCCGTAATTCGGAGCCATGAACCATCCTGGTCCTCACGGGATGCTGCTGGCACTTCTGGTCCATGGCGTTGCAAGCCGATTTTAAGAATCGCGGAGGCTTGCAGAGCCTCTTTAACCCGAAGGCCGGCAACAAGGTTTTCGCGCTTGACTCCGTCTTGCCAGATGCCAATCGTGCACACAAGCCCCCTGCGGCCACTGGCAAGCTGGCATTGCCGGCAGTGCCAGGCAGCAGAAATGTAGGAGGAGAAGATCCATTGAAGGCCGGATCACCCGTGCTGTCCGTGAGTCCAGAGCTTGAGCCCGTCCGGGAGTCAGACGGCTTCTCCCCAGCTCTCCAAGATGCTGTGCAGACTATGATGCAAAGTTTGCGAGAGGTCAAAGAGCCAGAGCCGCGGGGAACAGCGAAAAACAAGCCTGAGCATGAGATGACAACAGGGGCTTCTGAAGAGCACGCGCCTGACATGACCTCTACGTTGTCGGAGGCACCCAAGCCGGAGCAGCAAACCTCGGAGTCGAAGATGAGGCGTGCCATTGCCAGAACGCGGTGGCCGGTAAGACCGCCCGAGAGAATCGAAGAGATCAAGAATATTGAGGTTTTCGCAGAGCGTCTCGTAGATGCTTACGGCTCCTTGTCGAAGGCCTTTGAAGCCTTTGACAGCCACGACCGAAGCGAAGTGACAAGATCTCAGTTCGATGCTGCACTGGATGCGATGAAACTCGACGTCGAAGAGCTTTGTGGCATCCCTGCATCCAAGCTCTTCAGCATGGTGAGTCGAGCCTCGAAGAAGCCCATCGGAGCATTGACGGAGCAGGCTTGGAACTCCTTCTTCAAGAAGTACCTGGGGCAGACGTCCTCGGCGCATTTGCTCGAAGCCGACTACAGCATCCAGGCCGCTCTGAGCCATCTCGCAGAGTTGCACCGGCTCGAGCCTTCTTCAGCACCACAGCGACGACGGCCTTTTCTCGAGGAGGCTCCGTTAAGCAGCAGATGCCCTGCAGTCCTCGCATCGGCATTTCCCTAATGCATTGCACCGAAGTGTAGCACTTTCAGTAGAAGAACCCCTCAACAAGGGCAGTGACACATGTTTGTCTGCAGGGCTCAGACCCCGATGCTCCGCCCCGTCGCTGGTGTGTTGTGGCTGCTGCGGCCGCCCGGACTTTCCTTCTTAGAGCACTTTCTTCCTGGATTAGGGGTTCAGGGTTTCGGGTTTGAGGCCGCAACAATATTGGGGCTTCAATATCTATAATCTGGAACCTATAGGGTTCCTTTTCGTGTTTCCCTGCCGAACACTTGCACCTCTTAAGCAACTCTCGGGAGGTGCTCGATGATGAGGCCATGGCCAAGCTCGCTAATCTTGAGGACAATGGCGGCGAACCTCAGCGGCAACGTGATTTGGGCTTGTAACCTTTGGACAGGGGATAGTGATAGAGCCAGATAGGGCCTTCAAGAAAAACCTTCAGGAAGTGATGGCTAGGGAACCCAAGCGCAGCTGTCTGTCTGTGTGTGTGTGTGTGTGTGTGTGTGCGTGAGTGTGGCCCTTGAGGACGGGAAGAAGAAGATGCAGGAAGAGGCGCCCGGGCAAACTCCTGCGATTGAGTTTGTTTAGACATCGCACCATCACGTACCATCTTAACCCCCGCTTGGAATTCCTACTTCCCCGGCAGTCCTGTACTCTCCTCCATCAGTCTTCCTCCCATCCTTGGCACAATAGTGTACAGTTGTGATGAAACTACTCTAAGGTTTTCTTTCGGTTGTCTCTTTTATTTGTATAAATATCAAACCCGGAATCCCGAGCGAGAGCACCGAAACCCTGCCCCAGCGGACTTAGTATCTGAAGCCATGCCTGCCTTGTGCGAGTGTGTAAGTCGAAACCCTGCCTTGCCTGCCTTGTGCGAGTGTGAGCGTCGAAACCCCGGGCATGGCTGCGATCAATGCCCACTCGCGAGGTCAATGTCATCTATCTAATCCCGGCCCTCACTAGTTCCCCCTGGAGTGCAACCTGGTCAGCTAAGCGGGTGGGAAAAGCTTAAACGAAATGCCTACAGGGCCTCTTGACTGCCTGGCTTAGGGAAATACGTTCAAGAACAACGCCTTATAAGGAATGCGGAATGCAAAACACCAGCCCTAACATAATCTGCATCAAATCCGACGAAAGCAGAGCTCCGCTGTGAGTCTCGAGGCTGGTGGCGGCCGGCGGCGTGGCGCTATCGGCTCCCAGGAGCCAAGCTCTCCCATGCCCACCTGAAGTCGGCTTCTCTTTGGTTTGGGAGTTTAGGGCAGTTTAGGGTTTAGGGTGGGCGAAGTGGAAAGCCTGTTGCAAAAGGGTTTGAGGGCTTTCCGAGCGCGACGTCGTTGCACAAAGAAAGTAACGGTCATTGGCCTGATGCAGTCAGGCTTTTAGTCACTCTTCAGGAACTAGGCTGAAGGATGCATGCGGGCAGATGGTCTTGACCAGTTTGAAGCGAGCAGGATGCAGATGGCTCATCTGCTTCCGGTGACTCTGACGACGACTTGACTTCAAGGCGGCTGGCGCAGGACCAGGTGCTCCACGGGGTTAAGATGGGTTAAGTGTCAGAAAGGGTTCAGGGTGTGCTTGAAACAGCATCAACTTGATTAGGGCGGTTGAAGCGATTCGCCCAAAGCAGACAGACAGACACTTGAGGCCGGTGACGGTTCGCCGGATGGTAGAAGGGAGATGCACGGGCATTCTGGTGGCTCTGGTGCGAAAGCAGAGACATCGAGCGAGGACGCAGATGGCAAGCTGCTAGCCAACGGAGCCAAATCCGACGCAGCTTCTTTGTCTTCTGACCTCAGCGGTGGCAATGACGCTCGAGGCCGATCACATGAACAGCGCGAGCGTCTGGGAGCTATTGATGAGGACGATTCCACCTTGAGCCCTGCACTGAAACCGACCGGTAGTACTACGTCACATATGTCAGATGAAGACGCGTTGCCGACGTCTGCGAGTGCCAGAAGGCGGGCCTGGCGTTGAAAGTCACCCTGGCTGGGCGCTTCAGGCTTCAGGTCTATTCTCCTGCAGATCTGTTCTAGTGGGGATGTTTTGGCCCTGCAGGGCTCCTGGTGGAGACGCTGAGGGCGACCTGCAACAGCGGTCTGGGCCTGGGCGGTCTGGGCCTGGTTACGGAAGTCACGGCCCGGGCTCGGGCTCGGGCAGCGGTGTCAGCGGTGTCAGCGGCGACGGTGTCGGCGGTCCGAGGGGTACTTCTCAAGTTGATGGCGACGGGCATCGGTCGGCCTCTTGGCCTCCAGGCGAAGTCCCAACAGGACCGCTAGGAGTGAGTTTTGCATGTTGATCTACAAAGACACTCAAGGCAGTACCGTCGTAGTTAGTGCTATTTCGCTCCGAAGGTGTACAGTTACAGGTTATGCAACACGTCTAGGCTTGCTTCCAGTGCATAGTATCGAAGGATTGGCAATACCACGCAGGTTCTAGAATTCCGTTTCCGTCCGTCTGCAGTCAGCCCCCTGCAGTCCCGAGTTTCGATTACGGACAGTCTTGTGCCTGACATCCAAGGCATCCAAGGATGGACAAGCAGAAGAAAGAGATCGCAGGCTGGGTCGAAAAGTGTGTTAACATGTGGCAAAAACTTGTCAGCCTCAGAAAGACTTCAAGACTTTAGCCACTGTTGGGCCAAGGCACATGAACCCAGGCACGGGCTCTGCGGCTTGGCCAAGAGGTACACGCCATCGCCCACTATGCTCTGATAGGTTAAGGGTCAGGTCCACTCTCCGCCTGGCGAAACCAAGAGCACTCATAAGAATGCTCCCACCGTCTGGCTGCTGTCATGTGTTAGTGAAAGCCAAGCTGAGGCCGAAACTTCCTCCAGATTGGATGGACCTGGGAACAGCTCTGAAGATGCATTCGGCTCAACGCCTTCTGATCTGCCGGGTGCTCAGGCGAATCGTGGTAGGACATGGCCGGTGAGAGCACAGTGCCACAAAGTGCCTCCTCGCAAGGCTGTCTGGAAGCACCCGAGATCTGGCTTCTTGACATACAGAAGATTTTTGGAGAGGAAGGCAAACTCGGCGAAGTCTAAGGACGGGCGAAGGAACAACATGGGCGGGCGACTTGATGGTGCTCCTGCCGGTGGTGCCGGTGCTGGTGGTAACACTGTTGGCGGCGATGCTGGTCGTGATGCTGGTGCCGATGCCAAGGCCAGAACTTCCAGGATGAATTCCGCCGCTTCACATGCTGCTTGTTCTCGTTTCGCTGCAGGATGGCCGCGCCGCTGGACGAGCTGGCCTCTCATCTTCCATTTCCGCACAGGATTTGGATGGAGGGCCTACCGGATCAGAGTCTTTCTCAGGACCTCCCAAGAGTTGCAGCACAATCAAAACAGGCGAAGCAGTAGATACGGTCACGAGCGTCCATGTGTGATCCCAGAGGATATGCGGGTGCAAATCGGCGAAAGTACCAAAGCGAGCCAATTGATCTGCTGGCCAGAGCAGCTGGAGAGTCCCAAAGCCACTCTGCAGTCGGGGCAGAGAGTGTATCCGATGAAGTTGGCAATGTCACTGGGCATTGATGCAAGACCTGGAGCAACAAGGTAATCACCAGCAATCCATACTACCAATACGTAACATCTCTCAGTCTCTCGAACCATACCATGTTAAGTCAAGTGCCGCATGTTTCATGCTCTGCATGTCGTTCGAACTACGCACACTGCCGGTCGAGCGAGTCTATCATTGCATACATGATACATCGCTTCCCACGTGCGTGCATGCATACATGCGCGCATGAAGACAGGCAGACACACAACCACGCACACACACACACACACACATACAGAGGCATGCAGCTTGTATCTACGTAGCAGTCTGTGGATCTATCCATCCATCCCATCCCATCCATCATCCCATGCCTCACGCCATCCATCCAAATCCCATCCCACCCCAGCCAGCCATCCATCCATCCATCCACCCTTCCATGCATCTACCATCTATGGATCTTATCTATCTGTCTACCTGCCCATCTATCTAGACAGGTACATGTACGGTATGCAGATTTCGCATGCATAACGATGCGCGCCTCCACTCTCCCCCGACTCCCTTTTGTCTCTCTCTCTCTCTCTCTCTCTCGCGATATGTCGGTCGGTATGTATGTATACCTATGTTAGGTGTGTATTACATACACGCAGCATGAGTGCATATATATATATATACACCACACACACACATATATATATATATATATACATATATATATATATATATATACACACGTATTTATATTCATTCATTCATTCATTCATAAATGCATACATGCAGCATGTGCCCGTGAATGTTGGGACAAGCATTTATGTCCAGTTGAAAGTGCGCATGTATGTATATGTATATGCACATGTATATGTATATACATATATATATATATATATATATATATATATATATATGCATATATATAGGTGTGTACATGTATATATATATATGTATATATATATATATGTATATCTATATATATAACACCACACGAATAGACTCAATAGACTTTAGACGTGGTATCATAACATGCTGTCGTTTTTCTTGGCTATAGATCCATCCCGTCATGTTAAAGCTTTTACGGCTCAGGCAACTTCTGGGCTGAAGGTTGCCTACACGCATGGCAAGGCGACGCCACTGCTTTCTTGGTCAGGGGCCGTCTCATTTTAGGAGGTATTTTTCCCTGGGGCGGCGTGTTGTTATGGCATGACTCACTATCACTACTTAGCTATCCATTAGCAGATATACAGGAGACTTGCATGTATATCTGTTCTGTTTGGGTGGTGGGTGGGTGGGGTGTGGGGTGGGGTTAGGGGGCTGGGTGGGTGAGTGGGTAGGCGGGTCTAGTTGTATATGCATGTCTCTTTGTTTAGGGTTCGTTTTTTTGTATTTTTGCCCTTGCTCGTTGATGTGCGAAAGTATGTGTGCATATTTGTGGAGAGACATGTATGTGTATATAGGTGTGTGTATATATATATACATATCCATAAAGGTAACGCGCCCCTTTGTGACCGTAGTGGTTTAGCACCATCCATGGTGGCGGCGTTTTCAGGACATGTTGGTAAACGTGTGGTTTTGTGCAGAGGCTTGACTACACGGCTTGCGGTCGGATGCTTCGAATACACCAGTGTTACCAGGCTTTTGCTCGCCGAAGCAACAAAACACTGGTTTTCGTGGTATATTTTGTAGGTTGGCGAAGCGGATTTCTGTAGGCACTCCTTTTTGTGTCGTTTTTTCTCAGTTCTTGTAGTTCTTGTTTTTGGAGTCGGCCAGCCGACTGAGTTCCGTCCTTTAGCTGCTTCTGAGCATTGAACCGGAACATAATAGAAAAGCAGTACTGCAAGAGCCGTGGATTCAGCTTGAGGCCAGACCCTGTTGGCCTTTTCAACGCCAGGGTGTGCGGCACATAGTGCTTCAGATGCCTCCAGAGCTGATCGAGCAGACCCCATCGCTGTTTCATGGCAGAAACCAAGCGATAATTGAAAAGCTGCGCATCTCTCTGAAGTGGCTGCGAGTAATTAGACACTGGAGTAGACCCATGCCAGAGCAGTCGCCGAGGAAACCCAAACCGTCCAAACGGAAGGCGCCTGCAAGGTTGACCGAGGATTCGTAAAAGAGCGCATGAAGCGCGAGGATCGCAGCACCGTCCAAGGGGTCTGTCAGAACCTGAGTGGAAAGCCGCAGCGGAAAGAAATGGCAGCAAGTACAAAGCCCAAGATGTCAGGCAAGAGGCACGCCATGCATCGTGATCATCATCGAAGCAGAACCGAGCAAAGCCGCCCAGATTCGCAGGCAAGGCGATGCCCTGCTTGCGAACCAGCAAGACGAAGGCCAGGAGGCAGGACAGCCAGCACAAGAAGTCGGAGCTGCCGGCTGGCAACATGGAAGAATGTGCGGTAGAGCTCTGAAGCCAAGAAGCAGCTGACATCCATGAGCATGTGTCAAGAGAAGGTGTATGAACGCCATGGCCATGAGCCAACGTATAGCAGAAGCAGGCACACGGCAAATGTACACAATGCGCCCGAGTACTTTAGAGTGCATGCTGCCGACGAGGACGATGGCAGCGGTGGTCGGTGGTGGTGGTGCTGTTTACGACGACGTGGTCGAGTGGACCCCCAACCCTGGACCCCAAACCTTCAAACTATGCCAAAACACCATGGTCGCTAAGGTGCGCGTTAGCAAAAACATATCACACACACAAACAAGATTGTGCATGCAAACTTATGTGTGTATATATATATATATATATACAAAAGTTACACATCCGTCAACAGACAGATACCCAGATTGCCTCTCGACGACCCGCCATTCCTGACAGCGTGGCAGGCAGAGGAAAGCTCCGATTCCGAGCTTGATGATGAGATGAGCAGCATGGGCATTGAGGACTATCCTTCATGTGGATTGAGGGTTGAGTCAGTTCTAGGACGTTCTGTTTCTTTTCCTTGAGGAAAAAGTGGAGGAGCGTTTTCGCGGGGAGTTCAGATGTCGGCACAGGTTCCATAAGAGTTTCGTTTTGGGGCATCCAAGAAGACTCCGTGACAGAGACTCTCGGATCAGGCCTTGGGGTCACATACATATGTTTGTACGACTGGCTAAATCCATGCTATGGGCGCAGCCTGGCCGGACCGTGACATGGTGACATGGCCGGGCTGGAGCCGAAGCCTGAAGCGTCCGACCAAGAGCGCAGTGTGGGCGTGCGTCGAAAATCGCACATAACCGTCATTCGGCGGCCGGGTGGCCCTGGCAGAATTTCCCCCGTTCCATTTGGGCAGGAGGACAAGACTGCCGGCGACATTCAGTCGCTCGTGAAGCGCGTCTGTGCCTGAGAAGCCTGAGAGCCAGGGGCTTCAGGCAACACCGAGGAAGACGCAGGCAGACGCGCAGATACGCAATGCTTCCGCACCCGAGGTGTTCAGGCTTTATGCCACCGGCTATTCGAAGGGTCAATATGACTCTCGCATGAATGGAACGGCATGTGCTACCGAACCATACCCCATCATACCTTCAAAGTCGCTTTTGTATTTTATCACTCTGACCCAGGTGTTCATCCGAAATCCCGACCTGGGTCACTTCATGGATGATGCAAAGGAAGCTTTGCCTGCCCATCGGAAGAAGTTTCGGCGCTTTAGCACCGAGGCTGCACAAAGCCGGCAGGGCTTGCTGCTAGACGGATCGGGCTTTCTGAATTCAGAACCGTCAGCATACTGTCAGCATGCAGTGCAGTTGTGGGATTCAGTTGGTGCCCTGCTTGGTGCCGATGTGTGAGATTAGCACAAAGCAAGTTCCAGCATGATTGCCGTCCAAGAACGAATATTCGAGTCGATCTTCGATGACACCATACAGCTGCAGTGCGGCCTGGCTCGACTAAGCAAGGCATCGGCAACGATCGTGAAGTCCTGCAGCTCCAGGTGATATGCCTGGCCAGGGCCTGCGAATCACCGCGGGCTTGACATTGGCAGCAGCCCGAGCATCGCTGCCCTTGAATGTCTAGGCGCAGATTTCCCTAGCATGCAAAGGTGGAGAATATCCTTGCATAGATGTAGCATGATTTAACCTTAACTTCGCGACTACCTCGCGCCAAGGACTGGTTCCAAGTCTTTGTGCAGAAAGTGGTAAGGCGAGTTGGCACGGAGGTTATGGGCTTCTTCATGGCCCTGCTCGAAGCACAAGGCTGCTAGAATTCGAGCCCTCCCCGACGCTTCGAACTCGAAGATCGAGGGGATGGCGCTCACGTGCTCAAGCGCGCTTGCAATCTTTGGTAGCTCGGAGGATTGCTTGGTGTGTACAGAACGTTGAATCTTGTCGATAGCTGAGACGCTTCAAGCCGCTCAAAGCGTTCCTTAGCGTTTCCCAAAATTGCTAGTGTAGGAACCTAATTCAGAAACCCTGGGCCAAAAAAAACCCAACATAAGTTTCTTAATCAGGTTCCTTCATCAGAAGCCCCCCAAAAGGGCCTCTTCCGGGGAGACGCCCATGCTCGGAGCCTCCAAGAGGCGAGCAGAGCATCGCCAAAAGAGAGAGGGGAGATCATGTATGATCAGTTATTCTAAATTAGTTACACACGCACATATGCATATGTATATATATATATATATATCTATATATATACATATATATATATATATAATATTGTACCTCTCATTTCTGTTTTGCTTTCATATTACGCTACTAGAATATATAGCAGATTGTTCCTGAAGGTCTTCGGACCGCTCCTTTTTCCTTGCTTGGTCACGGCGAGGAGTAGAGGGGAGACGGAGCTACTGTAGCAAGTGGGCTCAAGCCTGGACGCCGGGCCAGGGAGCCCGGCAGATGGTAGCTTGTCGACACCTTCAAGAAGTTGAGGGCCATCCCAATCTGCGCCATGACTGCTTGCTGCTGCCCAGACAAGGTCCTGCAACTCTTGCGGAGCCCTCGGGGTGGTAGCCGCCGGCCTTCTCAATTCCTGTCGCAAGCGATTAAGAGACGAGTGCTGAGAGAACGTGCGGGCACACAGGACATTCATACCTTACTGCTGTGTCCAGATCCAGCTCGACGCCTCAGCAATTGTTACCACTCTGCAGTCCCATTGGGGGCAGGGGGATTCGGGCAAGTCTTCCGAATGGAACACAATTTGACCGGAGAGATACGAGCCATCAAGCTCATCCGCAAGCCTTCAGAACTCGAGGATTTGCAGAGGATCTTGAACGAAGTTTGCGCACTTCTTCAGCTGGACCACCCTAACATTGCAAAGCTTTATGAGTATTTTGAGGACCGCAAGGCCATCTATGTGGTCACGGAGATATGTACAGGCGGCAATTTGGGTGACCTCGACCCACTCGTGGATGACATGGATGAAATTCGACTTCTGTTCCGCGATGTCACGCGAGCGGTGGCGTACTGCCACTCTGAAGGCATCGCGCACAGGGACCTGAAGTTTGAAAACTGCTTGCTCACGGAATGCCGGGGCAGGCGGACAGGTCGCATGGCGAAGGTCATAGACTTCGGCCTTGCTAACATGAAGCGGGCCGGAAGCACAGCAAACACCTGGATGAACGAGGTAGTGGGCACCCTATATTTTCTAGCGCCGGAGGTGTTAAAAAGTCACAATCCCTTGTACAGCTATGGCTTCGAGTGTGACCTTTGGTCGCTCGGGGTCATGATTTTCTTTGTTCTGACCAATGAGCACCCCTTTTGCAACTCCGCCTCAGGGCCTGAAGATGCCTACCAGCGGATCACCCGGGGCCCTCTGCGCGCGTCGTATTTAAAGGCCGCGGGGGTCTCCGAGGATGCCGAGCGCCTCGTGAAGCTGCTCCTGGCCAAGGAGCCGCTGAATCGCCTAAACGCCCAGGAGGCTTTGAGTGAATCCTGGCTGCAGTCTCCCGAGGGGCTCAGTCAAGGACTCAGTGATGTTGAGAGCGAGAGTTCCGACTCGCCTTTGGGCCACTTGCCGGCCAAAGCCGATAAGCTCAAGTGTCTTCTGGAGCGCATTCTGTCCTACTCGAAGTTCTCCCGTTTCGAACGGGCCCTCCTGACCGTCGCTGCACACGAGGCGAACGGTAAAGATGTCGAGGAACTCACTTCCGTGTTTACATCCCTCGACTCTTCCAACTCTGGCTGGATCACCCGAGATAGCTTTCGCTCTGCCCTGGCATCGGCAGGTCTGCGTATCCGCAGCCCAGAAGAGGATGATGTCCTCAGTGCTTTAGACCCTGACATGGACGAGAAGATCCAGTACACGGACTGGGTCGCTGCAACAATGAAGCCAACACAGATCACGTCGGACAAAAGCGTTGAGGAGTTGTTCAGCTTCTTCGACTTTCGCGGCAAGGGCCAGATTACGCTGGAGGATTTGAGCCAAGTTCTGGGACAAGAGATGGCATGTCACGTTGCCATACAGGCGAATGCTGACGAGGAGGGCATCGTCTCAAAGAAGAGCTTCAGAGCCTTCATCCTAAATGCCATGACGAAGCTTGAACTTCAAGTCCAACAAGACCACAAATCACGGTGTACAGTTGCAAGTGAGCTTCCGAACAGTGAGGCTCTGGCCCCGAGGGGCCGCCCATGCATACCGTCTTGATCTGATGTTTCTGGGGGCCTGGCCTGTGGGCCGCGTAGAATGTCTTTTGTCTTTAACTCTTTGCCGCGTAGAATTGCGGACCCGTCAAAAAGGCGCTTGCTGTTTTTTTCGGCGAAGCATGCGGGGCACCAGCGATCTCTGGACCGCACTTATGGCAACCCTCACAGCATCTCAGAGTAATAAGTCTCCGAAGAGCCGGCCGTTGATCGGAGCAGACAGCTAGGTTGAGAATCCCAATCTTTGAAATAGACGTCAACCTGCGCCAGGTTTTTAGTCTGAAGGTGCCAGGACCCTGCGGCGTATTTTGCATTCACATGCTCTTGGTAAGCCATGCCCACTTCTGTGGCCCCACATCGCGAAAGCAACTCTCATGGACAGTTGCACAGTTACTAGCACACAATCGCCGGGAGCGAGACGAAGATAAAACCAAGGCACCCTGTCTGGTTCTTGATCGCATGTGCGGATCATCTCTTGAGGTGCAAACCGTGGTCTGACAAGGACGTGACTTCCGGTCACTGCATCCTACATGAATGTCTTCTGCAGTCCCGACCTCGCCGATCCCTCCAGTGATGCTGTATCCGACTGGGCCGTGCTTCCCACGCAGAGGTCGAGCAGTCAGTGCTCCAGCTCAGAGGGAAAGCAGCGGGACAAGATGGGATAACTTCGGAAAGCAGTAGTGAGTCTCCCAGTGCTCTTTACGACTCTGGGCCGTATGCACCCACTGTTTGAAAGCCCTTAAACCTGGGGCAGCTCACAGCCTCGCGGCTTCGTGCTCTGAGCCTCCGCAGTTTCTCAGAAGTCTTCACAGGGTAAAGTCATCCATCACGACTCACCATATGTCAGCAGCTTGGGCATCAGTTGGCCTGTAGCACACGCACCTGTTTCACCGGATCTCCAAGAGAACGGCAGATGGCGAGAGCGTGGTGCAATCGTGAAACAAAGACTAAGACACCCGAAGCAGAGAGCAGGTCTCTTGAGACCTTGAGACGGACAGTTTCGTTTTGGTGTTTGTTCCTGGCGAGGTTCGGGGCAAAGGTGCGGTTTCCAGCATGCTGGTAGCTTTTGCTCTCGTAGTTGTTCTCGCGAAGGGGACCTTGCCCAGCGGTAAATGGCTCGAAGGAGTAGATGACTGGTGCAAGATCAGCCTCTGAAGAAAGTTAGATCAGATAGTCGAGGGCTACGTCGCTTGTAGTCTGGCTCAGCCTCGTCGACATGACCCACGTAGGCAGTACACTGTACACCTGGCCCATCCTGGCCCATGGTGAGTAGCGGCGCTCGGAAGCGCATCCCGAGGCCTCCGTTTGCTTGGACGAGGGACATTTAGTTGTCAGCCTTGGGGTCTGAGGAATGCGGGGAAAGCGCAAGGCTTCCTCCGGCAGGCCATGGCAATCGCTTAGTCTGTTCGCTGTCTGTCTAACGCAGAGCTATCATCGACATAGACCACGAGAGAGACGCAGTTTTCCCGTGCGAAAGCTTGCCCCCCATACAGTGCAAAGAGTCCACAGCGAAATGGCAGGAATCAAGATCAAGGTCTGCAGCTGGTCCCTCAAGTCCAGCCAGCCGCATGCTGAGCCGCTTTCCTCGCTCCCCGCGCTGCACATTGTAAGGAACTTGCCACCACTCTGAGGTCAAAGTTGCAAGGAAGGCTCCACACCCGGAGGTGGGCTACAGTAGATTCTGCACTGATTGGGTATTTGGTCCAAGCCAGTTCATGCTGAAGTTTGAAAGCCCATGTGCTCGGAAATGCATGGGCAAGCCGAGGCCCAGCAAGAAGCTGGCACCCGCTCTGGCGGCACCGTGCCGCATGGCCCTCGTATTGACCGCCGGTGCTGATTTCTGAGACAGAATCCGGAACGATGCGTCAGGCGGGATGGTAACATTGAAGAAACAGCGGATGGTCGCTGGGAGGCAGCTGCAGCTACATCGTGTTTGCTGACCCTCTCTGTGGATGTCTATGAAAACGCAATGTTACTCCATCGTCGCTCTACTCCCCCAACGACTGTTTAGCAAGAGGTGCGGCTGGCTGACCTGCCAAGTGGCACCAGCTGCTGCCCGAGCTGATGATTGATTGAAGGTATCTTTGCGGCGAGGATCACCTTTTCCCGAAATCGCAGCCCAACTCAGAGACACCCAACGCGAAAACACGCGGTAGCATTTCGCCAATATCCTACAAACCGCAATTCCACGCAGATTCTACCATTGACCTGCCATGAGATACCGTGAGACATGGGTGAGGTGCCAAGAGCCTTCGCGCTTTCCTTGGTGATGAGGTGGTGCGGTTCCAAGTTCGGCCCCCCTCTGCCACCACAACAAACTCCTTCGATCGAACCCTTTTGAGGAACACTCGTCGGTGCGACTTGATGCAGAAGCAGGTGCCCCGCGCAAGTTTGATCGCTCGCTCCGACACCGAAGCATCGAAGACAAGCCTCCCAGCCTCCCCGGTCCTTCTTTAGCCAAGGCCAGGCAGTCATAGCCTTGGAGAGCAAAGCAAGTCATCGCCCCAGGGCCCGACGGGCGTGTGTCAAAATGACTGATTCTATGGTCGAAGCCTTGCGGCCAAGGCGCGGAGTCCTGTCTGCGACGTTGGGAAGGATTCGCAGCTGCGATGGGTTCGGCTCTGGCCTCTATCCCTCCAAAAGAGCGCACGTGATTCGCAGCCTTCCCTATCAGCAAGGTTCCTAAGCGACGTGGAAGCAGGCAAGGACCCGCTGCATGCTGTCAGCCGCACTCGTTTCCGAATGCCATGATAACATGCAGAGTGGGGCGGGTCACGAAGCCTGTGCTGACTTTCACGTTTCTCTTCCAGCAGCTTCTCTCAAGCGTGGTCTGCCCGTCCCTCCTCTCATGCTCGAGCCTAGGGCCCAGAATTTCGGATCACTGCTTATGCCTCTGTCGGGAAGCGGTGTCGCAGGCCAGATGCAGGGCCTGTTCGACGCAGTCAGAGCGAAGCGCAGCCTTGGAGCAATTTGGGTTCCGCGATACGCTCACAGTAGTCGTCCGAAGGCCTCTTTGGGAATGCCCACCTGAGGAGGGATGTCGAGCGAGCCAGCCTGGTAGGTTCGCCCGCTTTCGAGCCTCGCCAGAAAAAGCATGGTTCCCCGGTACAGTCACGGAGTGAGTGTTGCATCATTGATAAGGAAGTTGACCAGAAGCAATTGCAGAAAGAGCGTGTGGCGAAAGCGCGGCACACCATCACTCAAGATCGTGTTCGGCACCTCGTTTCAAAAGTGCGGTTGTGTCCGGGATCGGGAATCATCGAGCCGATGGTGATGGCGAATGCCTGTCTGCCACAGCTGCAGTGCACCGCGAGGCAAGCTCGCTCACAGAGCCGCAGGATCTCAGCTTCCGGTGGAGAGAGGCTGCAGCTTGGCTGCCCGAGATCATTCGATTCCAGATTCTGTTCCGCACTCCTGTCGCCGAGGGAGTTCGAGTCTGTGCTGGTCTCTTTCGTGTCTCGGCAAGATGTGAAGAAGCCGGCGACCTTTCATTTTCTCTGGTTTGCAGCTGCTGTTGGATGTGCAACCGAGAATTCCAGCCAAGGTCGAGTCCGATGTCTTTGAGCTTAGCATTGGGCTGGTCATCATCTTCAGCACCGTCACCATGACGCTGGAGGCCACGCGTCCAGACTTCGCCTAGCAATGGACTGCTTCTGGGCTTTCAGGTTGACCAGGTAGATCTGCCAATGCTGATCAACTTCTCGGAGAGCTTCTTAACAGCTTTCTTTCTTCAAGAGTCTTGGCCCGGACCGACGTTCCGAACAGAAAAGAGCGCAAGGTCTTTGACCGGAGTAGTTACCCCCAAGGGACTCAGAGGTGAAGTTGATGTTACAAGACCCAGGAATGGATCACCCGCGTGGCAGTCTATGGCCTGCCCTGGTTCCGCTCCATGGAGAACCTGCTGGACACCTTCATTGCCCCTAAGCTGCTACATGACGGTTTCGCAGAGCAAAGTTCAGACGATGGCTATCAGGTGTGCTATCGTGAGCTTGACTAACGAATAGGCTAGCGGCAGGTGGCCAGCAAGTTGCATGAACTGAGTCGCCACTGTGCTTGTGCTTGTCTTCTCTTGGTTGTGCCACTCTCTCAGGTCTGGGTTCCTGGCGTGCTGACTGTCTGGTTCTTGCAGCCCATTTTTGCCGGTTCGGCCGACTTCCTGACGCCGTGCCTTTTGAAATGAGGGAGACATTTTCGAGGGAGGGCCACGTTCAGAGAGAAGACGCGAGCAGAACGTTCCCCAGCCGAGGAAGACCATCCGGATCGTGCGAATGCTGCGTTTGCTGAGATTGGCCTTTTGATGCAAACGGGTTTGCTGTTTGCTGCAGCTGTTGATACATCATGCCACTCCTATGCATCACCAGGTAAAAGTCTTTCGGTGCCTTGGGTTGCACATTCAGACCCAATCGTCCTTACAAGGCATGTCATGCATAGTTGATGCATCAACGTGTGGTCTTTTCGGGACAGGAGCCTTCCCGTCATGCAAGATCTCTGGCAGCTCGTTCGCGGGCTCCTGAAGAGTGGCGGCAGCGGGGATGCACTTGCTGGTGGCTGCATAACTCTGGTTTTTGACAGTGGGATTGAGCCAGACTTGCGCCAAGCACATCGTTGAGGCACTCTAGCTTCTGCCATGACTCTTATCGTCTTCACTCTGCCCCTTGACCACGAAACTGGGAGCTGTAAAGGGTGAATGAAGCCGGCTGATTCCTTCCCGAGGTTTGTTTTTGGCATCGCAGCCGTTGATCTGATTGCCAGAGCCGACTACAGCGGTGCGGAAGAAGTCATCGGCTGAGAGATGGCGAGTTCTCTGGCTGCTTGCGCAAAGCTGCGCTTTGCCGAGGACTCGAAGGTGGCACAGTCTCGTTTCTTTGGCCAGGGCCTCTGGCATCGTCGGTCATGCAGCACAGTGGCATCATGCGAAGCTGGGGCCTGCAAAGCTGCACTGACTTGTTAACCAGGAGCCATGGCTTGTCCCTGTCAGGCCTTTGGTTTGCAATGCTGACGTTGACAAGGTCGGTCTTCTGCGTTGATGCTGGTGCGAATGGTTGACGCAAAGACTCTGATCGAGCCAATGTTGTGGTTAGATTGCGTGCAGTGCATCGCCAGGTTCATGCACGGTGATGATGCGCAGGGCATCATGGATGAGCTCACTGCACACCAACCATACATCTGGTTTTGGCCTGAGCTGCGCTTTGCCATTTCTTGCGCGCTTCACCGGTGCATGGGGCAAGGATTTTCCTCTGGACTTTCGCAGCCTGTGCATCCTTTGCCTCTTGTCTGAACACACGGTTCCTTCATGTAATGTGGCAGTGGGCACGGGCTCCAGTTCGAATCTCCTACAGAGCGACCGTAAACTCTGGCTATCCTGATTTCAATCACCCAAGCCCTACTTGGCCCTACTTCTCAGAATCGAAACGCACTCTCTTGAGACTCGCACTCGGCCGTCTCGTCTTGTTGCCCTTCCCGAGAATGCAGATATCAAGTAGTTTACGCTTGACAATTAACCTGGATCTCACATCTTCAGAGCTCTTTTGAGCCGAGGTTCTCTTGAACTTGGTCACGGCCATTATTTGCAACGAAGCCTTCGAGACTTCAAAGGCTGATGAGGCGGACCTCGCCAGGCAGCCACCTGTTTCAATGCTGCGGAAGGGCCGTCTCCTTTCCTTCAGCAGCGCATAGATATAGTAGCGATAAACTGCCTGTTGTATGCTCTTTTACCATGCGTGCATGTATATAGAGCCGCCTATGCGCAAAAATAGCTTTAAGTCGTTGGACATAATGTGCTAGAAAGCAGAGGTCAATGGCATGGATGCAATGCTGTGTGTTGTTGTTTATGGGTGTGCGAGCATGGAAGGTCGTTTGTTTGTTGCTGAGCGCGTGCTGGCCTCATATACTCTACCGTACTCAGTATTCTACCTGTAAATTTGTGCTTAGGTCGTAGGCGTTCTTATGCACACAGAAAAGTTCTTCGCAAACCTGGCACAAAAGCTGAGCAAAAGAACGGGCAGCAACACATAAACAAATGTGTGTTCATAGAGAGCGGCCACTGCCAAAGCACAGCCATGCATCCATCTCTTCTGTGGTGGCATGGCAGCATGGGCACCCTTCTGATCATCGTCGAGGGTTTAGGGCTGTGCGCACCTCCGAGGTTGAAGCTTCAGAAAGAGCAGGAGATGCGTGAGTTCAAGGACGTGGTCAGGGATGGTCAGGGTAGACAACTTCGCGCATGGCTGTGATAAATGATAAATGAATATAGCATATGTATATATATACACACATCGGCACATGCGCACATGCACGCCATGGCGATGGGCAGAACCAGGCTTTCGGGCTTTCTCGACCTATTGACCGTTGCCATCGCCTGCCGGACAGGACATGTTCATCGAGCTTGATGAAGACGGGAGCGGACAGGTGCGGCCTTGACCGGCTGTTGCACCCTTCCTTCTGCTGTCGCACGGAGAGGTGACCCTGGACGAGTTCACCAACGCGTTCGACATTGATGTGACGTGTCTCACGATTTAGTGTGATCTCCAATGAGTTTGTGTCACTCCAACGTTCAGTGTTCTGTTCTCTGCCTGCGTTGCCCACAGAGCGTCCGCAACAAGCTCATCGTCATGGGGCTCACCGAAGATGCTTTGTTGCAGCTTTTCACCCTCTTGGACACGGAGACTTGGATGCACCAATTACGGTGTTGCCGGGGGGGGGATGGGAATGGCTGGGGTTAACTGCTGCCCTTGACATTTGGGAGTTTCCGAAAATGGGGGACCCTAGTATCGTACCCTAAGGACCCCCAAATGTACCCCTAAGTTTCGGAAACTCCCATAGCTGCTCCAGTACTGAGCCCTGCTCTTCTGCAAGGATGGTGAGGGCGAGCTGAGCCTGGCAACTGGCCCAGTCCCAGTGCTTTCAGAAAGAGCAAAGAAGGTTTCAAAACGGGGCTCAGTTGAGGACGAGTTCATGGGTGGCATGCAGTCTCTCTCCGGCCTCGCGAATGCCAAAGATATGGTGCTTGGGCCGACACACTGACAGTCTGTTGATCGGTCACGGCCACGGGTCCGAGCATGCTGATCCGTTCCGTGACTGAGGTGATATTGACGAAGGGCTTGGAGAGAATCGAAAAGCAAGTCAGCTTGCTGTTTCAGGGCTCCCTCTCGAGCGGCGCCTTGGCACATTCGAGTCCCCTTTCACGTCCCATATTCGTAGATTGTATTGTATTGTAGTACTAGTGCCACACATGATACGTAGCGTATATTATGATATATATATATATATAATAAAAAAGATATAATAATAATAATAGTTATTACTATATTATATATATATATATGTAGGGAGATCCATGGAGAGCAGGTCTGCCGACCCAAGAGATGCTCCAGAGCCAAATGACCCAGGCGGATTAAGTTCCGGAGATTCCATTGGGGTTACCTTTGGTTAGTAGGGAATGGAGGAATGGGGTTTAGGGTTTACGACAGTAAGGGTTTTGATTTTAGGGTAGGGAATGGGACAACGAGGCCTGCTGCAAAAAGGGTAGGGAATGGAGGAATGGGGTACAATTATAACTACGATTACTACCATTCTTCCATTCCATCTTGTATACCATCAACCTTGCTTCGCGATCCATCAGCCATGCAAGAGGCAAAAACCATTCTTCCATTCCCTACGAACCAACGGTAAGTGGGGCAGCATAACCTGCAGTGCCCTGGCAGGTCCGAGTGAAAATCGATGATCGTTTCCGAAAAACGGAGACGTCTTTGAAGGACTTGGTTCGGTTGGTGGTGCGGGCGGTCGCGGCTGTCTGGAAGATCTGCACATCGTGACTCAAACTAGACTTGACCGGCAAGGTTTGCGAAGGAAGCAGCTGACCGTCCCGGCATGCCGATGCCCACTGCACTTGCAGCTGATCAGCCGAAGGACTTGACAAACCAGCTGCAGCGCATCAGTGGAAGCAGCCAGGCACGGCAGGCTTCTTCAATAGCCCATGCATACTCGGAAGCAGTGACTGCACAGGCTGCAACCCACAAAGGCACTGCCAAAGTCAAAGCGAAGAAGAAGGTGCACTCCGTGCGGAAGGTTTCGAGACCGCTGCAGATACTAATCGGTGAGTCAGGTCGTCAAGATGCCGAAGGCATCGATTATGACCTCGTCGTCAGGCTGGGCCACTGCTCCGATGCCATCTTCATGGCAACATGCAATCATCAGCTCGCTTAAATGCTGGAAGCTCAAGAATCTAGCCTGCAGGCGAAGGGGACGAAAGGATTTGAGTGCCATGCTGTTCGGGAGCAGCATAGCAACGCATGGCGTTGACATGTTGCTCGTGCAGCAGCTGTGGCCGGCAGGGCTGTTTTGCAGTCATCGTTTACTAGAAGCAGAGCATCAAGGTAAGGAATGAGGCTTAAAATTACCAGATGGCTTCTCGGCCGCGTGTCTTTAATTAGCGATGGTGCTGACGCACATGTGCCAAAGACCCCCAAGAGTCTACAAGATGTCATTCAATTCTTAAATCATTGCTTCTGGTGAAATCGGGTGGGTGGCATGAGTGCGCCGTGCCTTCAGGCTATGCCTCGATCAGCTTGCCCCAAGGGCTGCTGCTCTTTATGCGAAGTTGTGTGTGAGTGTATCCCATGTGCAAAAGACGTGACTAAACGCCACTCGCAGCGCACGTAGGCAGTTTTGTTTTTGTTGCAAGACTCGAAAGCCCTAAGCCCTCTGGAACTCCGAGTCTCGTGTGCTGTTGGGAGCCAGGCAAGGCGGAACATCGAGGCCGAGGAAGGCTTGGGACTCCTGGTCCTGGCAAGCCGGCTCAGCCCGAGCCCTTCGGGTTCCTTGAGCTGCGGCTACTGTTTTTGGCACCGTAGATCGTGGAGTAGGCTGGAGAAACATGGGTATACGACCATATACAGAGTCTAGTTTAGCCTAGTCTTTTGTTTAGTATAGCATCGCATGCTGTGTTCGGAAAGTCTACAGTCTTGCGTAGTTGAGCATGAGTGATTAGGTGAGTATATTGGAGGATCAAGGGTTGGGCAATGCTGGCCACGGCCACGATAAGGCCCAGACTGACGAGTCTGGCGGCGCACCTGTGCAGCCCGAGCCCATGGAGTCCAGGGGCTTCTCAGAATCTGCGCCACTGCCAAGACTTGTGAAGTAGATTGCGTCAGCTTGGTGGTATTGCAGATCCCGGGGGCCAGGACGATGATGCAGGCCAAAGCACGTCTGCTGGTGCTGCCCGCTGGGTTTGAGGAATTCGTGTTCTATGTCTACTTGAGATTTCCAGCCGTCTCGCGAGGTCAGAAGGCCGCTTCCTCCAAGTCTGCGAAGCAAGGCAGCGCTCAGCCCAATCGTCGAATCGTGTCTGCCTTCCTTGCTACAGCACAAATGCCTTATTCGCAAGCAATCACAGCTAAGGCTCGGATGCGCTTCAGCAGTTGATCAGGACCGTGAGCCCCTAGGCCCTCGTCAGGGTCGTGCATGTCACCCGTCCGGTCTGCCGCAGCATCACTGCCCAAGCCCCAAGGCAAGCACAAGGGTTTCGTTGTGGGATGTTGCAGAATGGTCGTTGCCGAAAGCCGCTAGCAGCCCAAGCACCAGGAAAATCGCTGACTTCGCCTCCCGCCGACGGCTGAACGACGTCAGCGCCTCACCGGGCATCATGCTCCGAGGTGGATGAAAACATCGTCGCACCATGTCCCGCGAAGCCCAGTATGCTTGATTTATGACAGTGAGGCCGTCAGAACTTTTGAGCAGATCGAGAAGCGAGGGCTCGAGCCGAGTTTGGCCTTCAGCACGAGGTGTCCATGGTGTTATGACATGTCTCCAAAAGGGCAGCTTGCTTGCTTGTAAAACAGCCTGAGGTGTGCAAGCCTATGCAAGCTTGATCAATGCATATGTCAACAGCCTGGAGCTCAACAAGTCAAGCCGAAGAACTTTGCCACCCTTGCCATGTAACACGGACCAATCTATGCTCCATGGGCTCCCCCTACGACTTAAGCATCCCTGGAGTTGCTTCTGCTTCTGTGGCACTTGCAGCTCAATGTGTTCTTTGCTCACCCAGGTGGTGACATGGCTGGAGCTGCCAAGGGCCAAGCGTTGCAGTTAAGCCCGGGCAGCGGACCGTCCCAGACAAAGGATTCAGCATTTTCGCGGATGCTGGCGGCTGGACTTCGGTCGAATGTGGTGGCCACGATGGGCAAGTTTAAAGTTTGCTTGCACCGGGTCTTCCGCACAATTTTCACTCGGCAGTGTGGCAGGTCTGCACAGCGTTGCTGAAGGGTTACTGCCGGAGCCCCTGGGCTTTCATAATTCTCCTTTCTGTAGCTGAGCAGAACAGGTCGTTCTGGCGATGTGCGGAGAGCACAGTCCGCCAAGCTCTGAGCTTCATCTTGCGAGGACGTCCGTGATGAATGGGCTGCGAACAGGTAGTACACGTCTGGCTTAGAGTGTTTATGCAAAGCATATGCAATCCTGTGCCAGCTTGTTGATGATTTCCTGCCGCGTGTTTTTGTAGGCTACAGTGCTGATTGCCAGCTGCCGTTTGCTGATGCTTGCTGTCAGACTAGGTGGTTTGAAGGGGCATATATGCGCATATGAGGTTCTCAGGCACGGAACAATACTGCAACAGTGATCGGGAGATGCAACAAGTCAGGCGCCAAAGCAAAGACTGTGTCGGTGAAATCCCCTCGAAGATATTGACCTGCTTCAAGTTTTAGCCGCTACTGGGCTGAAGAAGGCAGAGGTGTCAGCGTAGTACTTTCCTGCGGCATGGCCTAGGTGCTTGAGAAGATGTCTTGCCAGGAGCCTCCGGCAGCAGCCTAATGTCCATGAGAAGGTTGTTGCCTGCTCTCATATGGTCGTTTGATCAGAGCGCATTCATTGTCCGAAGCCACGAGCAATCAGACTTTGGCTTATTAGGGAATAGGGCGTGCCTCGCCCCAAAGCTTTGCCAGACACATGTCGAAAAATGCTCAGCGAAACGAGAGGACCACCGCACAAGACCACCAGCTTCTCGTTTGGAAGCCACGCATTGCAAGATGCCTGATAGGAGAAAGGCCGCCAAAAAGGAGCAGGCCGCTGCATACTTCTTACTAGCATTCTTGCTGTTGAGTGTGACGATCGAAAACCCAACCGATATCGAGGAGTACTTCAGTTCGAACAAGCTCTTCTGATACATCGGGTTCACCTGTGTCTCCGTGATGCTGTGCGTGCGTTCCGAAGCCTTGCAGGTATTGCAGGCGACGTATTGGGCCAAAAACCCCAGAAGCCACAAACAATGACCGAGTAGTAGGATCCATATGAAGGGCCCTAGTAAAAACCGGGAAGTTGAGTTCTATCCAGTGTAAAGACGCAGACCCCGGCGCAGCTGAGGCCGCACCACTGGAACTTGTACTCGAGTCTCGAATTCGATCCTCCGAAAGCCCCTTTTCAAACGTTGCAGGAACTCACCATCGAATTTCATCATACAGGCTGCTTGTGCGTTCAGGGACTAACATATAGCACCGGATGCTAAGCCTACACGATGTACATTCTGCACTGAAGTGTTTCACGCGGAATGTTGCGAGCTCAGGAGGCTCACCAGGCCAGTCCGAGCGCCAAGGTGTACTTACCATGAACTAAACCATACTAAACCCTAAACCCGACCCAGTAGCAACAAACGGATTGCACCCAAATCTCAATCCCGCATAAGACTTGTGTTTCAACTCTCGACTTAGGGATTTCTTGCAAGACCTCGTGCCGCCGGGCGTTTGTTTTGTCCATCAGGCCCGAGCCGACGAAACGGCGGCCGCTGCAGCATCAGGAGCCGGCGCTGGTACGGCGGCACGGTTTCGGGTTTCAAGTGTTTGAGCATTTGATTGGGTTTTGCTTTGGGTTTGGTGTCTCGGGGTTGCAGGTGCTGCGTAGGATGCTCGGTGATAAACCCGGGTTTGCTGGCGTCTTTGTCGTGCCCACGACATGAAGTTATTCATTTGCGAGCCAAGCAGGTGACAGCTTCTCCACGTCAAAACTAAGTCCCTCAGCCTGTCGAATTCAAGGGAAAGACTCAGACCCGAAGGCTCACCCCGATCGCAAAGCTTTGAGGAGCACGTTACTTTGAACTAGCTTCTTGGTAAATTGCCACAAAGTAGCACTGTGAGAGGTGAAGCACGTAATCAAGCTCGAGTAACCAAATCCAAACTCCCAACTTTCATATTATCATATAGCTTTAACTATTATTTTTCTTCTTATATTTTAAAAATTGAAATTTTCAAGTAAAGTTTCTTTTGAACAGAAAATCTGCAACTGCAGGCTGCCGTCCGAGAGGGAGAGTACAAACAAGAAGCTTCTCGAGGACCCAAGGCCACAGGCAGCTTCGAAGAGCTGCAAGAGTGTCCTGGCACCAAACTGCCACAGTACCGCAGTACTGCCGACTAAGCACGCGATGAAATTAAATCACGTAGCTGTTGGCATCAGATTTCCGATATGACATAGTATCACACAGTCTGCGTGCTCCTACCGCTTCCGTCGTAGCAGTCGATTTCATGCCACATCATAGCATATCGCGCCACAAATTGTAAATCGTGCAGCACAACTGATTCCAAGGCTTGGTAAGTCTTTGTTCCTGGGTTCATGCGCGGCCATGTATGCCGGATGCTCAGCAGCTTTGCGAATCAGTACTGGTGATATACACGAGACACATGGCCATGACTCGGATCAACTGCTGAGGCCCCAAAGTTGCCAGACTTGCTGAAAGAGGATGGCAAGGTGATGCCATGCAGATCTCGGGTCAATCAGATGGTGACCATTCCATGGCTTGCAGGAGGCAGAACCCGCGAAAGCCACCGAGGAGTCCGAGAAGGACGAGGGGCAAAATGACTGCGATTTCTGGCAGGTTTGGAACACCAGAAGGCGTCCAGATGCCACTTTGCCGTTTAGAGGACTCCCCGGAAGCTGAGCCGACAACTCCGTCGCCAGAGGCCCACACAGCCCCTGCAACTTCCCACTCAGAGCACTTACATGCATGTGTATATAATATTGCGTACTGTTATGCTGATTTTTGTGTTCAGCATGACTATGGCTATGATTATGGCATATTATGACTATCATATTCTTCTGCCGCTGCTGACTTATGTGATGGGGCTGCATGGCCAGGGCTCTTCAGCGATCTTCTCCAGCTTGGGTGAGCGCCTGGCGTGGCATAACTGCCTCGGCCTGGCAAACCCACAGACTGGCGAGGCTCCGTTGTGTTCTTGCCTATATGCCCATGATTTACGGTTTAGGGTTTAGGGTTAATCGGTTAATGCGCAGTTTGTGTTTTGGAGGTCGTCCGTACTAGTTTCTTGAGCAGGGTATGGAAGTGCAGTCAGGAGTGCTGACCTTCCGTCCAGGTGTTCAGGCGATTGCACAAGTCCTGATGCAAAACGGGTTTACGCTTATGAACGTCTCACTTTCTACTAGTGGCCAAGGAGGCGATGCAACGGTGGAAGGCCCTGAGCCAGTTGGAGATGGATTTTGGGCCGAAGAAGTCCAAGCGTGGGAGCCCGTCGTGGGACAGGACCTTGCGCAAGCCAATTGGATTGCCTCATGACCTCCAGACTGTATCAAACTGCTTAGACTTCTAACACCTGTCTCATCCCTGTGTTGGTGCAGGATTTTGGCCAACCTCTGTGGAAACTTGCCGCACCTTGGCGATCCAAGCTGCGCTTTCAATAGCGCCTTCTTCCGTGGGAGTTGAAGACAGCGCCATTCGGTTCAGGCAGTATCTCCACATTCTTCTGGTTCGTTCCCCGGTGGTTCGTCGGGGCGATCACCTCAACTCTGAGAGTCTACACCCCGAGGCGCTGGCAATGCTCCATGCCTTCCTTCTCCGATCTTATTTCGCCTGCCTGCCATGGCTGTTGGGCTGGCAGACCTTCGGCTGAAGCAGCAGACGACTCGTCGTACAAAACTGAAAGCTCATACCGAGGATGGCGTCCTTATTGATTCCTCTAGAGACCATCCCCCAGGCAGGCACCGGGGACATGTCGTTGGCATCCTCGGCCCCGCCGTAGCAGGTGCCACAAGTGCCACTTAGCCAGTGCCCTCTGAAGTTTCGTGATCGGCTCGGGCGAGATGTCTCAAGATGTCTCAAGTGCCGTCAAGTTGGACAGATGTCTCGTCTCGGAAACGCAGTAACCGTGCCCAGGCATAGCCGCCACTTTGGGCATCCACACTCTGTTCCTCTTGTTTTTTGGCCTGGAGCAACTCGGCTGGATGCCTTCAAGGTCAAGGCCATGCAGCCCGAAGCCAAATCAAATTTTAAAAGTGGCCAAGGTTAGTTTGGCGGATGAACTTCTTGGTGAAATTCCTGGTGGTCGCCTTAGAACCCCTACACGTCCGAATCCAAAGCACATGTGAGTTCACCGCTCGGAAGGTGCTTGGGCTGATCATTTTCCACGCGCATTCTGTGAAGCCGGCTGCCGCGTAATCACTTGGACGAGGGCCTGCGCTTCCACGAGTGCTGCAACAGCCACAGACAAGTACAGACCACTGACGATCGCGCACTGAGTGCAGGCCTGGTCAATTGTTTGCCCCTATCGGTAGTTGCTCAGTCAGCAGTCGGCTGACATTTTGCACCGCCGGGTTCAGACAACGGCGATGAAGGCAACCTCCCACGTGGGCTGCAATTGGATGTGTGCCTTAGCTGCTTGACCAACTCGCTGAACAATAGTCAGCATTGGAGAACGGATCACTTTGCCAGAGACTCCCGCCACGCTGCGCGTAGACAACTGCCTGCCTGTATGAGATGTATGAGTTGGCCTCTAGACTCTAGACTTGGTGGCCACGCACAAAGCTTTGATCGGTACCCAGGTCAGGCCGGACTTACGTTCTGAGCTTATCAGGACAAATCTGCGGCAGAAACTTGGCTAGGTTCTTCATAGTCATAGTCCTGCCCAGGCCTTGTCAACACGCTGCTTCGTGGGTGCGTCAGGGTCCATGCCTTGGAAGTGAAGTGCCATACTGCCATGGGGGTTTGAGAAAAAACCCGGTTATAGAGATTTAAGAGCTGGTGGCCCTGTATGTTGGATTCACTGTAAAACGATAAGGAATAAATTTAACGATAAGATTTCTGTTTTCTCTGTCAGCATATCTCAGTATGGCAGGGATGTACAAGTAATGCAAAAGAACTCTCAAACCCCAAGTAAACAAAGCAGACGTTTTAAAAGCAGTAAAGCTGCTTCAAGAATCCCGCAGCAGTGTTGGTGCTGAGTCATATCGAGTTTTTTGGCCTGTGGTTCTTGTGGTCATAGGAAACAAGACGAAAGAGTCCACGCCACCCCACAAGAGCCCAGGTCAGACTAGCAGACGCCTGAAAGCCAGCAGCTAATCAACAAATCTACATCGTTGGCATTCGAGAACTGTGCTTCCAACATCCAAGTGTGGCAAGTGTATATCTGGACCCTAAAATCGGTTCGCGGTGGTGAGGTTTAAACGATAACCCGAACGATAAGGTTTGGCATCAGAAATTGTGCATTGTGAGCACTTGTTCATGTTTGTATAAAGTCAGTACTAAACGATAGGAAGCATCCGGATCGAATGAATGCGTGCAAAGCGAGTGCGCATTACTGTTACCACTACTCTTATTAGTATTGTTACTATTGATATGAACACTACTAGCATTACTACTGTTATTCTTACTGTTGAACTTTTATTGTGAATGTATCGGTATTATCATGACTATGACTATGGCTATGACTGTTTCGATTAATTAGTGGTGCGATTATTGTTACTATGACCATTACAATTACTATTGCTAGTACTATTGCTATCACGACTAGTCACTACCACTATCACTATTACTATATACCATCACCGTCACTATCACTATTACCATTTCCATGACTATTGCTATTGCTCTTATTCTTACTATTGCTAAGCTATTTATAACTAATAGAGTCTCAGTTTGCCAGTAGCACCCTTTTGCCCTTTTATTGTATGGGCTGCCTTGTTAAAACTGCATACAAGGAACAACTCCACCATTCTAGTCAACGGGACACTGCGGAACCAGGCAATATAGTATTATTGCTATTGCAATTAATATAATTGCTATTAATCTACTGCTGCTACTAATATTATCTTAATTAACAAGACCCCAGAGGCTTTGGCAAGGACTGAGGCAATCATTCGATGTAGCCATATAGATAAACATGGCTCGGGGCTTGTAAAACGATAAGGAATAAAATAAAACGATAAGATTTCAAATAGGGATAGGAATCCTTGACTGGTTTTTTTTGCATGACTGTCAGCTTCATCAGTTTCAGGCCGGCGACCTTGCAACAGCCGAGCTTCTGGCTCAGTGTGTTTGCACTTGCTCAGGCGACGGTTCGGGTACACTGCGCAATGCAAGTGCCTCGTGCCTAGGTCCGTGTTTCGTAGACTTCCCGAGTGGGAGCTGTCGCCAGACGCTGGTGACTTGGAGCGAGGAGCGAAGGGAGATGATGGCGATGTTTTGGGGGGGTGGTCGCGCTCAGGCTTCATCTTGCTGCTTCATGTCGCGGGTCGCCCAGCATCGCCCAGCTCAGGCCACGAAGGGACTCGGTTGGCTGAGCTGTGATTCCAGGACGTTGCTGGGCCAGGCCCTGCAGGTGAAGAAGGTCCCTGGACATGCAGCATGGTGCGTCTGTGTCTGTAGCATTGCGTAGCTGCGTAGCTGTGGACTTGAGCATTCCTACATGCACGTAGCCGCAGATTGCAGCACTGCTGCGATTGCCGGCCTTGGCCCCATTCTCAGCTTCGCAGTGGCCGCAGGCGGCTCACGTGCACACGCTCCTTTGAACTCCACTCAGACTCGACTCCAGCTCAGGCTCAAGCTCCAGAGGGAGGATAGCTTGCTGAGTATGATAGTGCAGACGGGGGGGGGGGGGCAGGGCGGCAAGAAAAGTCTGCCACGGCCAGGACAAGAAGCAGGACCGTCCAGGAAATCGGAAGAAGCTTGCAGGTCGCCCGAGTTCAGATGTGTTTGCCGGCACTGTGCCCTTAGTTAGCAGCAGCCCCGTGCGAGCAGTGTTCTCCGAAGGTTTTGGCAGAAGGGAAAATGCAAGAAAGGTTCGTAAAATTGTGTTTCAGAACTGCACGATCTGAACTGCCTTCGTTGGAAGGTGCTGCTTGTCCTTTCTTTCACGACCCGGCAGTTGTCTGAGCCTTGGGCACGAGAAGACGAAATACACGATGCAAATCATGGATTATAGATCGTTTTGTGAAGGAGGTTGCTCAGAAGGCTGCGCGTGAGCCAGAAAGGCTCGCTGCCGTCACGCCCTCAAAGTTGAACAGATGGTTCTAGAAGTTTGCGCATGCATGCAGTGAGCTTTAGCATGCATGAGCATTGTTCATATAGGACCTAGGAGCTACGGGCTAGAAGGAGGCAACCAGTGTTCGTCTAAACTTCGTCCAGATTCTTTCAGGAATTTGGTGTTCAGACAAACGAGTTTCTCAGTTGATGTTGAGGTTGCCAGCATTGGTATGTGCCTGAGTGGGAAGTTCCTACCCGAGTCCTGGTCTTGCAGTGTTGTGTCGAGCTTCCTAGGACTGGATGAGGCACGCGCGGCAGCATTGCTTAAGCAACCGCTTGCTTGCAAGCGTGCGTTGCGAGCAGTGGAGAACGCCCTCGCAGCCGCCAAGGCGCGCCGATATCCCCAATTGAGTGGTAGCAAAATGGCGGCAGAGTCAGAGTCCTTTGGCTTCGGTGTAGTGGAAAACTCTGTGCAACTGTCGCCTTGTCGTCATGGCAGGACACACCGAGGCTGCGCAGTTCGTCAAAGGAACGACAAGACAGCATTCGGTGCGTAGCCAAGAGTCTCCTGCACCTGCATGCCGAGAAAGGGACCCTTAAGGGAGAGGGAAGAGAAAGCGATAGCGCTGTTCAGGAGCAGACGAGATAGAAAGTACATACAGCGGTGGAGCACATCACAACTTCGCATCGTGGTTGTGAAAGGGCTGTTTGCAGATTGAGGTTTTGCAAGCAAGGAGCCAACACTGAATTCAGGTTGTACCTGTCCCGCTGGTCTCCTGCAGGCATTCTGGCCTAGCGCGAATGGACTCTCTAAATACCCCAAGCTTTGACATGGATTGACCTTTTCCTTGATCTTGACAGCTTCTGGGCCGCAACAGGAATCGTTTTGCGGGTTCTGTCAAAACTGATACTTTGGTGGCCTCGCGACCCGCAAGGTTTCTTTCTCGATCCGCATGGCGTCGCCTGCGGCAACTGGTTCCACCGCTGCGACAGATGATGAGCCACACGAGGCCATCCTTTTGAACCATGGCGCTTTCAATCCTGTCGCTTGTGCTGCACCATGGATGGTTTTTGTGTATGTGTCTGAAAGTCGCTGCAGTGTTGGCATTTGTGTTGCAAAGGTTCGCAGGCAGCACATTGACATGATGGTGCAGAGTCGGAAGCGCGTTGAGCAGGCAGGCTACAAGGTTGTCGGTGGTATCCTCGTGCCGGACTTACTTTCTAAATGTTCGGGGTCACCTAATAATGCTCTCTGTGATTGTAGCCTGCGATCTTCGGCCAAGGCCCTGAAGAGTACAGAGTTCATCAGGCGCAAGAAGGAGACCGCTGCAATTCTGAACGAACATCGCTTGGCTGCTTTGCGTGCAGCATGCCAGTCTGCAGATGGGCCGCCCGGATGGCTAAAACCTGACGCCAAGGGAGTTTACCACAGCTCTCCGGGGCAGATGATTCAGACCCTGAAAGGAAAGTATCCTGGTGTCACAGTTTTCAATGTGGTCGGGGCGGATTCTGTGGTGAAGCTTTGCAAAAACGGATCAAAGTTCCTGCAGCCCATGGTGGTTGTGGGACGGGCTGGCTTCAACAACAAAGTTGTTCAGGAGACAGCCGAAAATTCTGAGGCAGCAGGAGTACCCGCGTATTACGTTGAGGAGCTTGCTGGACTTGCCAGATCGACGGATGCCCTTAAAGCACTCGAAGAAGCACAGGACAGACTTCCACATTGTTTGCGGTGTTCTTGGAATAATTATGTTCAGGCAGGCGTGCTACAACCAAGCATGTGTGATACGTAAGTTTGTATGTTTATGTACGTCTATACATATGTATATATATATATGTATACATTATGGTAAATAGGACGCAAGGACTTGTATGCATAAAAGTCTGTGTAGGAGTACGGCCGCCTGAGTTGTTCACAAATACTTCCAGCAACATCGAATATATCTCGGAATAGGAAAGCCAGTAGGATCGATGTCATTAGTTATTGTGTAACTAAGGGCTGCTTCAGCTTTTGTTTTTCCTTCATCTTGGTCTGCTTCGAAAAGGGGGCCCAATTCATTCTCGATCACACCTTGCGGTTGCGGTGGGGAAGAGAGGGGTCCTCCAAAATGCCGTAATGTACAGCACTTTCTGGTTTAAGATGTTGCCGAAAAGGCAGACAAGTGTGGATTTTACAGCAGACTCTGCTTCTGCTACGGGACTCCAAAAGAGCAGAACTACCTAAGGTTAGGGTTCCTTTAAGGAATCTATAGGGCTTAGGGTTTAGGGTACCCAGAGACTCCAATACCCCTTAACTGAGGAATATATCTTCTGCTCCAAGCTGACTTCGTCGGGGGCAAAAAGGCACGAGGTCGTCCAGGGAGGTTACGGCCGTTGTTCGCACTCGCCTTTGTGGTGACGGAAACGCGCGTGTCGTGTGCGGGTTTTCCGAATCGGTGTTCTTGCGGCAGTCTGACTGGGGTCGTTCGGTGACGAGGTCTTTGTCTTGCTTTGCATCCATGGCCAAAGCCTAATGACGTCCATGGTCTATTGCGATTTGGGAAGGGCAGAACATCCATGGCCAAAACCGCCAAAGTCTTTCTCCGTCTTGTCGAGGTTTTCTAGCTTGGGGTGGGGGTTGGGTGGTGGGGCGGGGAGATTCCTTTCTTGGTCCACCGCCTTTCGTGTTGCCTGCTGTGCCTCTCACTTACCATGTCCCCACGTGCAAAGCATGGCAGTGCCAGAAAACAGTTTGTTTAACGCCTATTTGTGCCAAAGCCACAGTGCCAGTTACATGCGTTCCTCGAATTACACGACCTTTCGGGGCAGCGAGTGGAGTACATCCTGTGTTCTTGCTGTTGGCTGTTGTTCGGTTGTTTGAGCGATTGTCTGTTTCAAAAGCATACCTCCTCAAACGTGCCAGCGACAGCTGAAAGCCTAATGCGCGGCCTTTTTGGCCCCAGTCCTGTCTGCCATCACAGCAAAACCGGTTCCCAAGCGTTTGCTAAAGCATACGGTCAAGACTGGAGATTGAAGCAACGATGGTCGCCCCGCCTCACCAACAGGTCGGATGACCAAACAGCTCAAAGTGTGCGCCCACAGAAAATCTGGGGGTTGGGGGCCTGGGGGATCCTTCTACCGACGGCTGGGGGTAAGGACTCGAATGGAAGACGACAAGACTATCTTGAATTCCTGAATTGACAAGAGCGCGTGATGGGTGCCTCCCTGGCACCAACCAGTACTCAACGACAACAATGTGGGTAAACAGGAGATAGTTGGACCGCGGCAGAAACCATACAAATTAACAGAATAGTGGTAGTAGATGTCGTCGTTATAGTCGCAGTCGTAGTAGTGGGGGGAGGACGACGAGCAGCAATAGAAGGTGCAGGAGGTGTTTCTTTCGAGTATAATAGCAGTATACTGACGTAGTGGTAAAGCTGCTGACAATCATCGCTTGGGAATTAGTGGTGATGTAAATCACACTGCGAGTTCCCTACCAAGATCACTGCCCTTATCCCTGTACAGTAGTGACAATCCCGATGAGACTGAGAACGACATGGACAGAAATAACGGGTTACGGTAGAATTTGTTGTTCCGGAGTGTGAGACATTCCCAGGAGGAGAGCTTGAAAGCTTTCGTCCCTGCATCTGCTGTCAAGTACCTTTTGAAGAATCGAGACATGCTTTTCGGTGACCACGTCCAGAAGCCTTCGCCGCCAAAATGGACTCCTAGCGGAGGTGAAGCAGGAGACACCGACTTGTGGGGTGGCGACGACCCGTCGGAGAAGAACGCATCGAATTCTGAGCACCCCCCGTTTCGGGAACAGACTCCTGAGAAGCCGAAGACGTCCACCAAGCCGCGGCAAAAGACCTCGAAAGCACAAGAGCAAGGGCCGCAGAAAGGTGGAGCTGGATACACTTCTTTCAACGAGGAGACCAGCTCTCACCTGACAGTGTCCGAGCCAGTGCCGCAGGCACAAAAGGAAAGTGGCGGAAGCCTTCCGCAGACCATTCGTTATTCAGCGGAGCCATTCAGCGGCGAGATTCCTTTCTCGGGGCGGCCAACCTTGGTTGTCGGCATTACAGGTGCTCCATCGGCAGGCAAGTCGTCCTTGGCACAAGAGCTACAGTACATGCTCTGGGAACGTTATGGAACCCGTTCGAACGCAATAATCGCACAGCAAGACTTCGAGTTGGGCAACAAGGCAGGTTCGGGGGCGTGGTTGTGGCAGCGAAACCAGTGGTTGTCGTACTGGGAGTCTCCTGATGCCACGGACTGGGAGAAGATGGAGCGCGAGACGCTCGAAGCAGTCAAGCAACATCCTATTGTGATCGTGGAAGGCCATTGCTTGTTTAGTTCGGAGCGATTGTACCTTTGCTTGAATTCCTTGATTTGGTTAGATGTGGATGAAGAAGGGTGCTGGGACCGCCGAGCCGAGTATCCCGGCGGCTGGGAGCCCGCGCACTATTTCTACAAGTGCCTGTGGCCAGGCCATCGGGAACATATGTCTCAGGCGTTGGGCGTGCAGAGATCCGCGCCAGGATGTGATGGGAAGTCTGCAAGCATCGGCCCAGCTCGTTCTTTGAGTCTCCATGGTTCGGACCAGCCATCTGCACTCCGGGAGCGAGCCTTAAAGGCAGTACTCCGGTGGTCTTCCTCGATGGCCCCAGCTCCGGCAAGTGATCTTGCACCAGCCCTTTCTGCGCCTGCAGTTGCCGCAGCTCCTCTGCTTATGCAGTGCCAATAAGCCTGTAAAACATCGCGTCAACCCTCAGCTACCTGATCCTACGTGACCTCAACACACAAACGGCATGGCCACGCCATGCATCACTCACCAGGCTGCACCAGACAGCAGCCGTGCGTCTCGAAATTTGACACGGAGTTCTGCATAGCCGCTATGCCCGCCTGCTGCCGCGTGCAGGAGCGACCGCAAGATTCCTGCGTGGAAAAGGGTATCGCTAGCTCCATCAGTCGACGTCATGCTTTCTTAAACAGCTTGTCTCTGGTGATGACGTGAATCCAACTTGAGATGCTGTAAGGCGCGATCAGCTCTTGGAGATTGAGCTTATACGGCGATTTGCAGGCATCACGGACCGCACTAAGCACATCTGTGGCTCCTCCAGTCTGGAGTAGATTTCTCAGGTAGCACTCTGGCAACCAAGGGAAGAGAAGGCAGCTGGCATTCTTCTGCTAACTGGGCATGTTCTGCACGCCACAATTCGCAACCCGTGGAGGACATGATTTCAACTTCCTTGACTTCCTTGGCACGTGCCCTCGGAGGAATTGTCTGTGCTTTGAGGTGTCGTGTGCGTGAGCCAAAGGTCGCTGCTTCCTCCTCCCAGTGGTTGCCTTGGTTGGCTCATGTGTGCCCGTAATGGTAGTTGAAGCTGGCCTCTTTCAGAGTGCAAAGAAAACCCAAGGCAGACGCAGCCCAGCAGCCTGAGATCGGAATGACCGGCGCCTGTGCCGTCTTCTTGGCAGATCCGAGTTTTGCTTGAGCTCTGCGGTTCAGCTGACTCCATGCAGCCCATTCCTGCTCAAGACAGTGGGGCTGTCAGTTCAGTCCCGGGTCGCCTGCCCAGGGCTCAGAGAGTCAGAAGATGCCAGAAGTGTGCGGAGCCTGCAGAACTATGAGTCTTTTTGAGGCCTAGACCATGCAGCACGCTCCGAGCGTGCCGTGCCTTCTTCAAAGCAACCGGAATACGATTCCGCCGAAGAAAAGGGCGGACAATGAGCGGAGGGTGACCGTGAACGTCGTGGCCGCGCCGGTGCTTTGCCTCCCCCCGTCGCCACAGCTCTCTTGCGCCTCGCCGCTGTCAGCCTCCCCACTCCACTCCCTCCTGCCAACGCCAACGGGAAGCCCCTACTCCACACCACGAGGTCGGGGCCCTTACAGCCCCTGCACCTCCCCAATTCCGCTACGGCCAGGCCACGGCGGATTCATGAGTCGCAGTGCCGACCAACTTCCCGGAGCACCGTTGCCGTTCCCTTCTTTGCTGACTCGCCCCCAAAGCCCTTCAAAGCCTTCTTGCCAGGGTGCAGTGAAATCCGGCCAGCAGGGGCAAGGCTTCGATGTCCAAGACTTTCCGCTCGGAATCATGGTCTTCGATCCTTCAAATCCCTCGCTGCGTGCGCAGCTCCTTGCAGCTCTGGGGGCGCCACCCCAGTCGACCTTCGAGGCAATGCGTGGATTTCACGGTGGCATGAATGAAGGCGCCCCTGCTGAAAGTAGAGAGTCATCAAAGTGCTCTAGTTCTTGCCGTGGCTCTTGCAGTCCTTTTCTTTTGCTGTCGCGATAGACCGCAGATTCCTGGAACAGCTCAGGTATCTGGTTCGTGAAGGGAGGAGGCCAGTGTCCCCACAATCTATTCCCAATGCCTTGCAGAGCACTGCAAGTGAAAGTGCCGGAGCATTTGTGTACGACAGCATGAGGTCAAACTTTGGTGCTGAAACTCGTGAAGTTTGATCGGTTCCTTGTCCTGCTGTCCTAGCAGCTCCACTGGCCGGCTTTTCCGTGTTTCACTTGCCCAGGTTCGCACCTCAACAGTTGGTAGAGGAACGAATGTTCACCAAGTTGTTCCAGGACAACGCTGCATTTCTGCACCGGTAAACGTTGCTTTTGTCATTCCACCTTCCATGCGAGATAGTGAAGATGTTCACATGCCGGGAGGAGCTTCCAGGCATCACAGAAGATCCAAATGTGGCGTTCCCTTTCAAAGTGCTGCGCCTCTTGGGCCCTCACAACGTTCGCAAGCATGAGCCCGGCCTGCAGCAAGCTTCACTGTTCGTGTGCATTCTGCGCTCGCAGATCTTGGTTGCCTGGAGCCGCGGTGATTAGCATGTCGCAGCACATCATCAGGATTTGATTGTGATGAAGAAGGCTCCAGGCAAGTCCCTGGACTATGTCATCTCAGAGAAATGGAGGACCGAAGCATTGCCCATATCGGACATTCTTCTGAATATGTTGAGTAGTGCTCAATCGTAACATAATTTTGCACGACTTGACTCGAGCAGGAAGGGTGGCAAAGCCGACCTCATGAAAATCTTCGGCAAAGTTGGGGAGTGCTTAGCAAATTTTCACAGGCCTCTCTAGATCTTCAAAGGTGATCCTATGCCGATTGATCAAGAGGCATGAGTTCCCTTCAGGCGGTATGGCGGCCGACAGCACAACGACGCTGGCACACAGAATATCCTTTGGGACGAGGACTCGAACCGAAAAGCTGCTGGTTTCCTCGTGTTGTATGACTTCTTTGTGCATTTTATGGGACTGCTGGAGGAGACACAGCATGTGACCCTGATCGATCTCGGCTGCATGGGGAACAAGTCCAACAAGACCGATGTTCAGCGATTGAGCCAGGCTGCTGTTGATTGTGACTTGACGCGGTCTTTCTGATGACTCTGACCGCTTCAAAGGTTGTTAAGAATCTGTCGACCTGCGCAGCTTATGGCCCTGACCTTGTGGATGCAGCCTCAGCTCTGAAAGCATTGAATCGACTCCAACATCCGACATCTAACAGGGTTGTGCAGTTGAGGCCGCGGTTTCTCATTTCCAAGAAGGCAGAGCAGCGGGGCAGAGGAGAGTCAGAGTGTCGGACCTGCGTCGTGATCTCTCGGCCTGTCGGCAGGCTACAACCAGGCCATGCAAAGGAAGCCGTCCAATGAAACATGATGCGACGCCGCGACTGTTGAAGCATCCACTGTCTTGAGCGGGAGTCATTTTTCGTGGCTTGCCTAAGGTTTCTTTCGAGTGTATACCCAACCCCCAATCCATGTCACTCATGTCCGTGAAAGTATGAGTAAGCATAAGTCTAAGTTGACCGTACTTGACATCCTGAAAGTGCTTTGACCTGACATTTATGCTCAGAGCGATAAAAAACAAGACAGGGCCAGGGCCCAGCCCACTCTCTCAAGAGAGCAGAGGCCAAGCTTCCGGGCACAGCAATCGAACTCACACGTGGTTATGTTGCTGACCCTCTTATCTCGATTGCTCCCAAAGGGTTGCAGCCTTTCAATGATGCCGAAGCTGCAGAGGCAGCGGAAGCATCACTTGGGGTGCTTTTCCCAGGTTTGTGGTGCAAATAACTCTTCTGAAGCCTGCTCCCAAAACACCCCATGAATTGCTTCGTTTGTTGAGTGCTCGGCTTGAAGCCGGAATGCTGGAGCGCTCTGGCAGAGATGCTCAAGCTGAGCACCACAATCGGAGCAATGTACTTCGTCGGCGCTGCCAAAGTTTTGAACGAATGGTTGGTGCCGGAGCGAAGTTTTTCCTGCAGGCTTCCGGCCGCGAGACATGGCAAGGGCAAATAAAGAAGTTTGCAGCAGCTCAGTCTTCATACACTTCATCAACAAATTTGCCCTACCACTCGAAGCGACAGTTCATCTCTGGGAAAAGCGAATCAAGCAGCACCTGGCACAGCTATGGAAGATGTTTCAAACATCTCACGTCTGGCAAGACCATCCTGACTTACCGGTAGAGGGCTTACAGGTGTCCTCCCACAGTGGTACATAAAGGTATTGGGTGATTTAAGGTATAGCATCTGGAGAAGGTACGGCAGCCTAATCTCACAATCCAATGTCATAGCTATGTAGTATATCATGGCATAGTACATGTTTGTCAAGGCTTTTCTACGCAATTACATAGTGTGCCTTTCCTCACTACCTTGCATATCGCTGCGTACCTGCTATATAGTTTCGAGTTTTACCCACATACTCACAGCTCCATACATGCGGAAGTACAGTACAGTAAAAATCCTGCACCATCATTTGTTACAGGCTGCGTCCTTAAGTAGCTCTCGCTTGCCAGTTTCTCTTTCCGGCTTCCGAGGTGCAGGAGTTGCACAGCTGGGGCTTGAAGAGATTCGGCACCTTGGGCTCCAGATGTCTCAGGGTTGTCTTCGGAGCTTGGGTCACAGGGGAGAAGATCGACACGTTTTGCCACTTCCAATCAGCTTTCATGGGGCTTCTCGACATTGGGCTGACAAAGACGTAAATGCCAAGGCCCCGCAGCCCGCAGGGCTTTGCAGCAAAGACTGCAAAACTGCCAACGCCTTACTTGCTTGACAAAGTCTTGATGCAGAGTGTTTGCACTGGTTTAAGATGCAGTTTTTGCAAAATCGTGGAAGCATGGTGCATCGGGCCTGGCGGCCTAACACCTCTCGTTGTGATACAATCATGCTGAGCACCTGAAGGCAAGCCAGGCCTTGAAGGGAGTGGGATGCTTCTACGGGCCGAAGCACCTGTGATCGAACCAAAGCGGCGCATCCAGCGACAGTTGGAGCACCAAAAATAATGAGTCAAGATCATAAGATCATAAGAACATGTAGTCACTGCTGTTATTAGTGTTTTCTGACGCAAACTATCAGGAACACCGCCCTCAGAAGGCTTTGCTGCAGTGCTTTGTCATGCCTCCACTGGCGTATCACATGAAGACACGTGTTTTGCCACGGCTTCAGCCGTCTCGCTGACAAACCCGGCGCTCAGTCCCCAGAGGTTTTCATGAAGCTCGTTTTCGATGGAACTCCGTGCCAGAGACTTACTGCTGCATGTGACAGGCATGCGGTGCTGTATTGTATTGCGTTGTGTACTGTGATGAAGACTGCATGCGTTGCCAGCCAAAAGACATCTACTCCCCCATGCTGGTCGCGGCCGTACAACAACTTAAAGCCAACATGACGTCAGCAACACTTGCCAGGACAATAATTACTCGTATGGTATGACACAACTTGGAAGCGTGGTACATAACTCGATCCTCTTCTGCAGCGCGGCTTCGAGCAAGCCGAGGTTTGATTGTTCCATCGACCAGAATCCGGTTCATCTGGAGCCTGGCGTCCCGGGAAGTTCGCATGGGCAGTTCTTCGAACTCGGGCCCTTCAGTGACAGATTCGTCTGGGGATTCATGGCACAGCTGCATTACCATAGCTGGGCCGACTTCAGCCGCTTCAGGCTTTGAATATCTTTGAATGCAGCCATGGAGAAGCATGCTGTGTCCTTTTTTTTCTCGAAAAGTAAGGCGAGTAAGGGAAGGAATCAGAAAAGAGTGCCACATCCAAAGATCCAGCTACCGTTATGGGTCAGCTAGAGTCAGTGCAAGACTAGCTGCAGCGTGAGCCAATCACCGGCGAATGGCAGCAGACATTGCAGAAGGCCTGGAATGCCTCGCTGATAGAGGTTGTTGGTTGCAGACTCACGGATTAAGCCTAAAGTTGGCTTTGAATACTTCTACGGTGACGTTTTTTAAATATATGGGGGGCCCGGCCTGCCGCACTGGCCGCAGAGGTAGTATAAAATATTTGTTTAAATCCGTATATTTAAAAATCCCAGTATGTTCAGCCGAAAAAAGGTGAAGGCTGGAATGCTGGAGGGTTGAAGGCTCCCTCCAGCCTTCCAGCCTTCAGCCCCAACCCAGCCCTCCAGCCTTCCAGCCTCCAGCCTTCCAGCCTTCCAGCCCTCCAGCCAGCCTTCCAGCCCTCCAGCCGCTTTCCAACCTTCCAGCCATCCAGCCTTCCAGCCTTCCAGCCCAGCCCTCCAGCCTTCAAGGTTGGAAGGCTGCAGGAAGGCTGGAGGGCTGGAGGGCTGGGCTGGGCTGGAGGAAGGCTGGAACGCTGGAGGGCTGGAGGCTGGAAGGTTGGAAGGGCCTGAAAACTGGAAGGTCTGAAGGCTGGAGGGCAAAGCTGGGGAGGGCTGGGTCTGGAAAACTGGACTGGAGGGCTGGAGGGCCGGAGGGTTGGGCTGGGAAGGCTGGGCTGGAGGAAGGCTGGAAGGCTGGCTCGGTTTGGCTTGAACCTAAAGCTGAAAGGTTTGGCTTCTACCTGAACCCTAAACCCTGAAACCCGAAACCCCAAAATCCTAAACCCCAAACCCACCAATCATCTGCCAATCTCCGGATATTTTATTTCGAGGCGGGCCCGGGCGATGTTTCACGGAGGTAGTGTAATTTACCTGTTTAACCTATTTAAATATCCGTGTATTTAAAAACAGACGTCGTAGCATCAAGCAAGTATGTCCGATCCGGAGGTGCAGAGCACCCTCTTGAGCGTGCCCACTTCTGGTCAGTGGCGAGCATCACTTGGCTCACCCCTCTGGCACGGAAAGCTGTAAAGGGCAACCTACAAGTCCATGATGTTTGGAAAGCACCTGCAGGCCTGACTCGGGGGAGCGCCTTTCATATCCAAGCCAAATGTAACCTGGCATTTTGCAGGACAAACGGTGGACACAGCCGTGCATCGCTTCAAGCTTGCTTGGGAGGTGGAGCAGTCGCGTGGCTTCGCAGTTGATGGAAAGCTAACAGTACTGGCACTCGTAACCCCAAAAGTAGCCCTGAGAGCAGCCCTTCTGTGGCATCGCTTCAGCTTGTCGGCTCCAGATCGCTGAGGCAGAGGAAAACCCCGTCGGTCGCCAGGGCCATGATTCGCGCGAACGCAGGTCGCGTGGCGGCTTCTGCATCCCTGCTGCTCCTGTTCATGAGCCCCTTGGTGAACCATCGTCATAGTCAGTGCAGGTGCGAATATTTCAGGCAGAGTCATCGGTCGGCAGCTCTGAGGCGTGCAGTTGGCCCAGCCACTCTTCATCCAGAGCTTGGTGAGTTTTCTCAACAAGCCCGCGGCCGCTCCAGGCCCCTTATATAAGTCTCACGATAGGCTCACGGCTTCTGAAGTTGGAAGCTGTCCCAAGGTGAAGGCTGGCTGATGGCTTCCCTGATCTTCACTTCGGCCCTGGCATCCTCGGTTCTCGTCTCCGAATTCTTCCGACATGGCTTTGTCTTGGGAGTACTCTCGAGGCATGTTCCGGGCAGACGGAATGAAGCCATGCAATGCTGCAAAGAAGGCAGTGAACCGGAGCCTTGTAAATGTGCACTGTCGAGGACTGCTGCCATGAGTGCCATCTACGAGAAGGCTATCAACATGTCTGTGCTGGCACGATCTGGCGGCTCCACCGGCAAAACCACGAACTTGATGGCCGTTGACGCTGAGACTTTGTGCTGCAAGAAGTGACGGAAGCAATCACGCAAACAGTTTGCCATTCTGGAAAGAGTTTGCAACAGTGTTTTCAACAAATCACCTGTTCACTTGGTCAGGAAGTTCGTTATGGCCTCCCAAGTCTTTCATTTTCTCTGGATCAGCCCGGTGATGATGATATTATGTGGAATTGTCATGTGGTTCCGCATCGGCCCCGCAGGATTTATTGGTTTGGCCTTCCTATTCGTGACAGTTCCGGTTCAACACCTCCTCGCGAAGAGAGGAGGCCAGATTCGCGTGAAAGCCCTGGCCTTCACTGATGAGCGAATGAAATTCGTCACTGAAGTGGTGCAGGGTATCCGAGTGGCCAAGCTCTACGCATGGGAAGCTGCCATTTTCCAGTATGTTGCTTCGCTCAGACGGCGCGAGTGTGCAAAGCTCTGCGCCTCCCTCTTGATGAAGATCGCCGTGCGCGAGGGCATCCTCTTAGTAGCGCCAGCCCGAGGCTCAGTTTACGGATACCAGTAACAAAAATGAAAACAAGTATACCAAGAAAATACCAATAGAAGAAACCGCAATTATTCTTTTTTGACAAGGGAGATAGTAATTAATAGTGAAATTAGCAATAATCAGCATAATAGCTGCAGTATTTCTACTACTAAAAGCAAAAACATTTAAAACAAAAATCAGAAAATACGAATTACAAGAGTGATAACAATAAGAAAATAATCATGGTAACAAGAATACTAATCGATGCAAATAGTGTTGAATACCAATACAAAATAATCCAACATATTCGTAGTATTCATAGTAATAATAGTAGCAATAATAATTATAATACTAATGCACATAATGATAGTACTACAGTCCCCGTTCCGAAACTTTGCTGACCTTTGCAAAACGAGCAGGCAGTTGCCCTGGGGCTGATTCTGGCCGGGAAGATGTGGCAGGATGGGGAGCTGGAACTGTCGGAGGCCATCATGATCCTTGGACTGCTGAATACCCTCAGGTTTCCGATGAACTTGCTGGCGACGTCCTTTGCCGCAACTCAAGACTGTCTCGTAGCAGCAAAGCGAATCTCAGCATTTCTCCTGCTTGAAGAGAGTCGTCGGCGCGCTGAAGGCCCCAAAAACGACCCGGAGTATTCGGCTCTTGCCACTTTTGCCGAGGGGGTTGTGTGTTGCTGGGATCCCGCCCTGACGTTTCGCCTGCGGATCCCTACTTGTCGGGTGGTTCGGGGCAGCCGAGTCGCCATCCTCGGCCCGGTGGGCTCTGGCAAGACCTCCTTCCTGTCGATGCTGCTAGATGAGATGCACCTTCTTCAAGGCCGCAGCTTTCTGGATGGCCGGGTGGCCTACATGGCCCAGGTGCCCTGGATCCAGAATGCCAGTTTGCGAGCAAACATCCTCTTCGGCCTGCCCATGGATGAGGACCGGACAGTTAGTGCTTTGCGTTAAGAGGCAGGTCCGCTCTGTCAAAGGTCCAAAAGCTTGCTTCATACCCTCACAAGCTTAAGTCTCGCGGCTTTGAGCCATTGCTAGGATCGTAGGACATGGCGCCAGTCAAGCCGTGTCTGTGTCGTGACAGGACATCTACGATGAAACTCTCGAAGCTGCAGCGCTGCAGACTGACTTAGAAGCCTTGTTGGATGGAGACCTGACAGACATCGGAGAGCGTGGAATCAACCTCTCTGGTGGGCAGAAAGCTCGAGTGGGCTTGGCACGTTGCTTGTATGCAGCTGCAACAAGGAATGCTGATGTTGTCATGTTGGACTCCCCCTTTGCTGCCTTGGACACGCTGACGGCGCAGACTGTTGTTGAGGGCCTCATCCGTATGACCAGTGGTTGCACGTTGGTGTGCGCCATGTCCTCCCACACCCATCTCTTGCGGAACTTCGAAAGGATTCTCATCATGAGTGATGGGGAGATCCTTGAGGATGGGTCCCCGGAAGAGCTGCGCCAGCAAGTTGGACTTCTTCCCCACGTGGACACAGCTGAGCCGACACAGACCAAGCCCATCGAATCTATGAAGTCGCCGACCAAGGCCCCAAAAGACGCATCTCGGCGTTTGATGCGAGCAGACACAGTAGCTCAGACCTTCCCGCTCACTGCTCTGGGCAAATGGCTTGGAGGGCCTCGCGGGCGTTCGCAACGGGGTTTACTCATTGGTGTGCCCATTTGCCTTATCTTCTTGGCAGGACAGGGTTGTCGCGTCATCACCGATGTGAGCCTCACTGAATGGGCCGCTGGCCAGTCGGACTTCTCCACTTCTTTAGTCTTGCTTGCTGTGCTGGTGGCCCTGTTGGTGCTGCGCATAAGCTGTTGTGCACTGGCCAGCTTTCGTGCCGCACGGCTCCTGCACAATGATATGTTCTGGCGTCTCCTGAGGGCACCTGTCACGACATACTTTGACATAGTGACGACCGGAGAAATCTGCAATAAGTTTTCCAAAGATCTGGAGTTCACGGACACTCAACTGCCGGAGCTTTTAACTCAGTTCTTGTCGAACTGTTCGCAGCTATTCATCATCTTCGGGCTGACCATCTTCGCCGTGCCGTGGTTCGCTGCCATTCTATGCTTGCTGTCTGTTGTCTTCGTCATCGTTGCCGTTCAGTCGGGATATCTCTTGCGTGCTCTACAGCGTTTTGAAAGTGCGTCGAAGTCTCCGATCTACACCTCTTTCTCGGAGACGTTGTCGGGCTTGCAGACAATCTGTGCTTGGGGACATCAGGAACGTTTTCAGGAAACCCACACGAAGATTATGCGGCACAACCTTCGCTTCTTCCACGCAGCCAGCATGTCAGACATTTGGCTCCAGTTTCGCCTGGAACTCTTGACCGTGGTCATCATCGGCAGCTTCACATTCCTGGCTGTCGCCCTCCGAAGCTCCATAGATGGCAACACCGTGGGTTTGGCGCTTGTCTATGCGATACAGATGACGGCGATGTTCCAGAGATGCACGAAGCTGGCAATCCTTATCGGGCAGATGCTGACCGCTTGCGAGCGTGTGCTGAGTTTCGAGAAAGCTCCACAAGAGCCTGATCTGGTACATCCACAGGACGTCAAGCTGCAGGAGTGGCCCCAAGGATCCATCGCCTTCACTGATGCTGCTTGGGAGGAAGTCGTAGTCAAAGAGTTGTTGATGTCATCAAGCCCCAGACTGCGCAAGTTGCAAGATGTTGCAAGGTTTCTGTGCAGTACCGGGATGGTGACCTCGTCTTGAAGGATGTTTGCTTTTCTGTTAATGCGGGTACTCGCGCACCTTGTCAGCAATCGCGTGCTCTTCTTCGGCGAAAAGAGCTGCAGCACAGCGCAAGTGATTGCCTCACAGATCAGGTAGGAATTTGCGGACGAAGTGGCGCCGGTAAATCCAGCATAGTGATGGCTTTGTTTCGCATGGTGGCGACTTGTCGTTTACTCATGTCATTTTGTGCACGATGTTGCACTCAGCGTAGAAGCGTCATCCAGGCAGGTACACACCGAGATGTACAAAACCTGACCATATTCAGGACCCGTGTGGAGGCAAAATCATGATTGACGGGGTCGACATCGCGACGGTTGGCGTGCACACCCTGCGGAAAAATCTGGCCATCATCCCACAGGATACAGCCTTTGAAGAATCCATACTGGCAGTTGCATCATCAGCTTGTTTCTAAAAATCTGCATCGTAATGCTTCGTCCAGACTCATCTTTGATGTGTAGAAATAGTGAAGCTTCTAAGTGCAGAAGCGTAACATGACGGCCAGGAGCCCATCGTCTTCAGTGGCTCTTTGCGCTCCAACTTGGACCCATTTCGGCAGGCTTCGGACGACACCGTGCTCACAGGCGCACTGGAGCAGGTGGGTCTACAGGGCGCCTAGGATGCAGTTAGCAGTCCCCGCACTTGACGCACGTTGTTGTTCGATGCCGCTTGACTCGGAGCCGGAGAGCTTTGAAAGGTCTTGTGAAGGAGGCCGGCTTGGAGATGGCGATTGCCGAACAGGGTGGGAATCTGTCGCAGGTGGGCATTCCTGGGCCCCTGGGTGCTAGTCTTCTCGATCCCTCTTCCACTGTCCGGAGCGACGAAGCGTCGCATGTTGCAAGGGTCAGCGACAGCTGCTGTGCATTGCCAGGGCGCCTTGGCGTTTCAAGGGCTTGCGCCGCTTCCGTTCAGTTCTTCCGAGTGGTCGTAACTGCTCGGCCGAGGCTTTCGTCAGGAAGAACCGGATCATGGTTCTGGACGAAGCCACCTCTTCTGTAGAGTCTTGTCTGACATCAGAGAATGTGAGGGTGCGCTGCATAAGCCTCGTAGTCCCTGCCTTCTTGCTTCCAGGATGAGCAGACAGATGGTCTCATAAAGAATCTGCTCCAAGCGCACTGGTCCCGAGGCCATGCAGCAGTGATCGGTGCAAGGTACAGCAAGGTACGGATCGTGCTTTCACGTCCTGTCTGCAAGGTCATCACAAGTGTACTGTCCTCACTGTCGCCCACCGCTTAAGCACCATACTGGATTATGACAGGAGCTCTGCATGTCGTGGCAGAGACCTCCAGAGCTTATGTACCTTCCTGCGGAGGATTCTGGTGCTGAACAAGGGCGAGGTTGTTGAGTTCGATGCTCCCTCCGAGCTCCTCTCGCGGCCTGAAGGTCACTTTGCTTCGATGGCGCCTCTTGGCTGCAAATCCGGGCATTTGCTGCCAAGAGGAGTCTCTTGGCTTTGGCCCAGGAAGGAGACCCTCCAGCCCGAGAAGTTCACCAAGGCTTCCCTCTAAGATGTAAAAAAGACGGTGCCTCTTGAGCCGAAGTACGGCTAAAGGGCCTCCAGCTTGAGAGTCACCGATTTTCCGACAGTATATCCACTTGGCCTGAAGTGAAGTCAGCTGCGAAAACGAGGAAGACCCTCCAGCAGGCGGCTTCCACTCGGGCTGGGTAACTGAGTAGACATGCCTGGCTTCACCTGCCACCCGTTGTGCTGACCGCGAGAAGGAAAGGTTCATCGGCTTTTAGTCCTTGCAAAGGGCTGCAACTTTGCTGAGGCTCGGAGCTGGTGGCGGCGAATGGGTAGCTCTCTCAGAGAGCCTGACCTCGAAATCGGGTATCCGGGCTTCGTTGGAGGTTGCTGCGCAGGCCGCCCAAGACAGCCACATCAAATGGGTGCGCCTCCTCTCCCAGCCCACCACCACTGGCGTGCTGGTGCAATATTCCGTGCCAGATCGCTCTCGAGATCATGCGCGACCGAGTTGAAGCCTCGGGCACGCGGTGTGGGGGAGAATCTTGGAAGAAAGCTTTGGTTGAGGCGCACAGCATATTGCAGAAGGCCGTATTCCAGGCACGGCAAAGTGGTGCATGGAGCCGAGTTCTGTGCGGGGGGGAATTGTGGCATTCGGTGGTCTTGAGCAGGGCCTTCGCAATATTTGCGTCGTTTGCGGGGAAGCTGCTCAGACTCTGGAGCACGGCACCCGGTAAACGGTCAGTATGTCGTTTGCTGTCGAAAAGTAAGGTCCGAAGACTTGCTCATAGTTAGATATTCAGACACCTGGCTTTCAGGTCCTTATTTCCAAGCAGCTCCATCTCCCACATTTTTATCAATTTTCCCGAGCCGCGGAGCGCTAAGCTGGCCTAGTGTTGGCCACGCAGCCGGAACCGAAGACGAAGCTCAACCAAGGCCTTTCGTGTCTGGTGACGAGGCGGCAGAGTGCGGCTTCCCGGCTTTGAGCACTGCGATGGAAACCCTCAGCCACCCCACGCCTGCCGGCATCAGAGGTCTAGCTTTCACATGATGACTGAGCACCTTTTCGTAGAGTCCGGGCCTAGCTGCACGCTGCAGCTGCTCCGGCCCTCTCCCACGCCCGGAGACAGGATGGATCGTGTCCTACGGAATGGATGTCGCGTCACCATCCTCTCGGACAATGCAAGGAAGGGCTCGTGCCGGGTTGCATGCAAGCAGTGGATCTGTAAAAGAAGAGGTACATGCGGACACTTGCCAAAACAGCGCTGGGCCGAGCTTGCCATCAGTCCTGTCCTGCGACATCAAAGATCCTTTCATTGAGGTGGCCGGTTGCAGCCTTATTACGTCGAAGCTCAAAGCACAAGCTGCTAAGCCGCCTGTCCCTCTTTTCGTAGAGGCCTCGCCTCGGCGCAGAGGGTCCGCTTGGCCTCCGCACGGGCCCTTTTTCTGCTGGGCTCTCCGGGGGGATTTCTGAGATCCTGGTCGGAGCGGAGATGGTCACAACCGTTGACCGTGGAACTCCCATTACCTGGGACGCCTCGTGTTCGCATGACTCCCCCGGCCTCACACTCCATACAGTCGATGATGCATCTCAAGCCAAAGCCCAGCAGCCCAGCAGCAACCCCGCAGCCGAGCCTAAGCTTGGCCGATGGTTCCCAGGCCGCTGCAAAGCTGTGGGGCCACGGCGAGTGTCCAGAGCATGAGAGCGTCCATGGCGTGCGACTCTCAGTCCAAGAAAATTCACAGTGTAGTACAGCGTAGGCCGCAGGCTTGCCGAACGAAAGGCTTTACTTCTTGGGCTAAGGGGGGTTGTGGGATCTTCGGGCTGCTTAGGTGGAGCTCTACCAGGGCTGGCCAGAGGCTTCCTGTGGGCATGCCGCCCGGCTCTCAGCTCTTCCCGTCCTCAATTTTAGCTCCTCTGGAGGCAGTGCTTTGCAGAGGTGAAAGCGAGCTCCTACTTCGACACCCTCTGGGCCATGGGCAAACGTGTAGATCGCTTCTACATGGTCCTGTGGGAGCCTCGTTTCTTTGCTCGGAAGCAGGTCCTACAAGTAACATGTTGTGTGGTCAAAGGCAAAAAGGAGAGGAAGCCGAAAGAGAGATCAGACCGGCGGGGGCTTCTGCATTTCATGCTCGGACCCATGCATCTCTCGCATGGGGATCGGTGGCGAGCCTCTCTCTACCTTGTGCAGGAGATTTTCAGAGCAGCAAGAAGAAGCGCAGCTCCACTAGAGACAGGAAATCGACCAAAGCGACCAAATTCATCATGGTTCGGGATGTGCTTGCTTTCTGCGTTGATGCTGGCTTTGTACTAAAGCCACAGCTGATTGTATCAATCTGGCACGTGATCTGCTGCCATGGTTCGAAGTTTTTGGCTGAGGGCTAGACAGTCGGCTTTCCCTGCAGGCTTCTCCACGCCCTGAACAGCTTTTGAAGCCACACCTCACAACCCATTCACGAGCGTAGTGAGCAGTAGAGCCTTTTGCACTTTTCCGCGGCATTCGGGCCGATCTTCGCCAGCCTCCCGGGACCTGCGCATGCTTTCCTTTGCAAGGAAGTGCACATGTTGAGGTCATGTCGGCTGCAGCTGCAGAAGAGCTCCACACCCGGATCTCGTAGCCATTGCGCTTTGCCGTCGTCTTGCGCAGGGTGTGGAGGAAATCCTCTGTGTGCGCGCCGTTCAGGTTGGTCAAGAAGGCTGAGCAGAAGATGAAGGGTGGTGTCGAACTGAGTTCACAAGAAGTGTCGGTGAGATCAAGGTGACAACTTGGGAGCTGCCATGCGAACCGCCTGGGAAGTGTGAGGCGGTGGTCTTTGGGGCTATCTCTCCGGCGGACCCAAGTACGATGAGGCGAGCATGGCGAGCTGCAAGCGCAGGACATGCCTTTTTGGGCAGCAGTGGAAAATGCCGTCCGAGGCCATTGAAATCTACCAGCAAGCAGCGAACCAGTACAAGATGGCCAAGATGTGGCAGGAGGCCATCATCCGACGAGCAAGCACACAAGGCTCGAGCTGTTTGGCGTGGCAATGGCGGCTGAAAGGCTGGGAACTGCTTCGTGCAGTGCGCCTTTTGCGCGGAAAAGTCGGGCTCGCAGTCCGATCAGGCCTCGAAAATTTGATCCAGTAAGTGAGAGGGGAATGGAGCTGCACACCTGCCGTTACTCGTAGAGTCGAACGCTGCCTTCTTTGTTTTCCTTTCCTTGGAGGCCAACTACCTCTCCGAAGCTGGCAACGTCTGGAGCTTCCCTCGGGCCCGGCTCGGCTTCCACCGACGATCCCGCATTCCAGGTGTTGAAAAAGGTCTCCACGCAGCTGGCGGTCGAACAGCTGGAACAGGACTGCAACCCTGCGTTTCACATTGACAAGTATACAGACTACACTGCCAGAGGCTGTAAGCATCTACAGCGCGGGTGGCCGATTCCAGCAGGTCGCTTTGCTGTTCACGCCTCGTCAGCAGGTGCTAGATAAGCACCGTCAGCATCTGTTGTTAAGTCGAACTCAAACTGCGATGCAATGCTTGGTTGCAGGCTGGCAAGCTCCTCCTCTCCGTTGCAGAACTGTATGAGGCCACCTGCCCATCGACGTGATTTCTTTCCCTGCATTCAGCCGATGTGACTTGACTTTTTTGGGCGGAAGGCGGAGCGGCTGCAGCACAAGGAGTGCAAGGTGGTGGCGAGCATTTACGCCAAGCAAGCTTCGGACCGATGCATTCTTCGGCACTTGGTGCACCATCGCAGGCCTTTTACAAGCGAGCGGCTGAGATGTTTGAGCTCGCTGACCACTCCGAGTCAAACTTTTCAAAGTCTGGGCCTTGACTTGTTTTGTTCTCTCTATCCGTCTTTTCGGTGAGCTCTGAGAGTGGTGCAGGTGTAACCTCAAATATGCGGAATTCGCCGCTAAGGTCCCTGTTGTATAGATTTGCAAGTTTGTATTGCATGCCTTGGGATCTTTTGACTTCCGTCCTTTGCCCTTTGCTCTTCTTGACGCAGGACGGCGAACTGGAGGAAGCAATTCGGATATTTGAATCCGAGGGCCATGCCCCAAGCACCATCACCGTTTTGCAGCGCACAGCTGCGGGCAATGGTCACCTTTTAAGGTGAGAAGGCCCTTGGAAAGACGTTGCTTCAGTTTGGAGCCAAGGACCTGAGGGCTGCCGGAATTGGGGTAGTGCGTGCTCCTGGCACATGGGCCCGCCAGGAGCATTTCCTGAACGCCGGAATCCTGCACTTGGTAGGCCCGGTGGATCTTCTACCCCTTGCAGCAACAACGACAGCGGCAGCAACTGCATGCAAAAGCTACTGTTGGTCACCAGTCGTCAGTATGCAGTATGCACACCACCGTCATCATGGTCACTATCACGATCCCCATCATCATGATCGCCACCACAATCGTAATACTCGTGAGAGGTTGTACTGGCGACTCAAAACTTCACCTCGACGGCAGCGGCACTGACATGGACACACGAAGTGTAGATGAAGTGAAGAGCCTCTCAACGGAGGGCGACTACACCAGGTCACTACGACGCAACGACACTCATGGCAGGAACAACAACAGCAACCGCGGCAGTGGTTTTGGTTGACACTCCTTGGTGCCGTCATCAGTTCTGTCAACCTCGCTCAGCACCCTTAGCTGCTGGATGTGACGTCTGCATTGGAACAGCCTTTTGGATCTGGTTTTCCCATGTGATACATGTCATGTATGAGCCCCTGAAATGGGAAGCACGACCCGGGATTGTTTGCCGCTCCTGGTTTTCATGCACGTGTCGTCCGTCCTGAGCTCACCAAAGACTTCGGGACCCAAAAAGCACATAAGCATAAGCATTTTACCGGGATATCCCTACCTTCTTGGGCTTCCTTTTAAGGGGGTTTATATGGGATATCCCTATCCAAATTTTTGCTTATGTGCTTTTTTGGGGCCCCAAAGACGTCCAAGAGGTGGTGACAGCGTCACGGTGAACCTGGCACTGGACAAGTACAGGCGGGAGCGGTTCATAAATCCCCATGAGGGTCCCCATGTTTCGATGTGGTGTGTATTCATGCTGGTAGCTACATGGCCGACAGAAATAGTTGCTACAGTAGCAGACAAAATAGCACCGTGGCCGCCTGCTGCCCACGATAAGTGTGCTGAAGTGGTGAGCTGCTAGAGTTATTTGTGACACTGAATCTTGGCAGGTCTCTGGATCCTCGTTTCGCCAGCTCGAGAGAAGGACTTCATACAATCTGCCATTATTGCCGTTGCAAAAAGCCGGCAAAACCCGAACTCGAGAAGTTTGTTTTCTTTTGTTTCCTGTCCAGGGGAGTTGCTGGGCAACTTGGCCCAGGCCTTCGAGGGTCCGCTCCTAAGCCTCCGCAGCGTTTTTCCTTGTGGCGGGAATCTGCTTTTGTTTATGTTGCTCGTTGTTGGTGGCATTGGCGGCGGTGGTTTGATTGCTGTTTGTTATTTGTTGTGATCTTTGCTCTTTGTTTGCGGCTGTTTGTTGGTTGCTGCTGCCGGGCATGCTATCTCAGGTGGTTGCTAACCTTGCAGGAAGCCCCAAAAGCCCTAAATCCAAAAAGTGAAAACTTCCCACCGGAGGTCACGCCCGCCTTGTTTTGGTGGCTTTTGGCTGTTTTGAGATGCTTCTGATGTTGCTCGGTTGTTTGGTATGTTGGTGTTTTTTGTGTGATCGTGGTTGTAGTTGTGGTTGTTGTTTCGTTTGCCGCCGCGAAGGGTGTGTCGATTTAAGGCGTGCGAAGTACCAACACTCGATGATTTTGGTGCGTTCCAGATTAGACGAGTTTGTTAATCTGTCAGGTACTGACAGTATTGTGTTTCGTGCATAGCCTGGCAAGAAAGCTAGAGTTTTTGAGCGTTGAAGGGTCTTTTGTATAGGCATTTGACTTGAAATTCTCATGTGACGTTAATGTGAAGGATGCTGCAAATAACTGTCAGGATGTTACCTGAGTAGGGGGGCGGATGGGGGGTAGATGATGTGGGGTGGGTTCGCGATGACGTCCATGGCCATGCGGACAACGTGTGCAGTGTTTCATGTTTGCCTGAGTGCCGGGATGGGGAAAGGGGATGGGGTTGCCTCCTGCGGCGTTTTTTGCCGTGGGTCTAAGCTCGAGGTTTGGTATCTTCCAAGGTCCTTCGCAACGGTGTTTACAGCCCTGACGGTAGGTTTTATGGTCGTGGGGGGTTATTTCTTCCGGATTTGGGCTTGAATCGGAGTCTTGGGTTTAAGCTGTTTAGGGTTGAAGTCTCGGGATGAATGCTTTAAGGATTCGAGTCTTGGGGTGACGGATTTAGTGCTTTAGATTTCACGTTTCCTTCCGTCAGCTTCCCTTGTTGGTAGTTTGTTTGCCACACTGCACACCGTCATTCACCGAGCATTGCACTTGAACCTTGTCGAGAATCCCAATGTTGGCTTCTCTTGGGTATGAAAACCATGCCAATATCCAGCACCAAGAGCGGCAAAAAGCATCCCACAAGCCTTCGTTTTCGCTACAAAGATTGCAAAAGCAGGAGGTTTCTGCATACTATACTGCAAAAGTCCTACAAAAACGACGAGACACTCTTTGCGGCATAAGGGTTTGGGGATTTGCAGGTTGCGCGTTCAGGGTTCGGCAGGCATGGAGTTTTAGGACTTCGGACCAGCACTCTGCCTCTAAGACGGCGACGTCGATGCCTTCGTCGAAAAGCTGGGTGATTTTGATGACCGGAGCCAAGTCGACATACCGAAGAGTTGGCAAAGGAGCTGAGCATCTTAGAAGACTGCAGGCAATCAAGCCACTCGATGCTTGGAAGACGGAGTTCCTTGTCAAGGCGTTCGCAGCGCATGCATAGCGGTATCATAACGTGCATCACACGACAGCTTCTGTCAGGTCAAGGAACACCTGCAGCCTTCCAACGCAAATGCTACAGAGGCCTCGGTCCCAGACGAGATGCTGCCTAGATATTCATAGGGACCTTTAGGGGAGCAGGGGGGAGGGAGGTAGGGATCATCCTTCCTTAAATATAGGCCTTATTAGGTCCTTATTATAGGTATTAAGCCCCTAAGGGTGATGAGATCTGGTTTTCGTCCTGCCCTGTGCCTCGAGCGAGGCAGTGGACCTCTCCTAAGGGGCGGCTGTATGAGGTGCCCGCCTTCGAGAACTGCCGGTAGTGGCCGTACAGCACCATCGGCTTCGATTAGGAAGTTTCACCACTATGTACAGATCCACAAGCAGCATCTAGCAACCAGGACTCGAAAATAGATGCCAGCATTCTGCAGAACGCTATTGGAGTCTATGCGATCATATGCGATCTCTGAAATCAGGCAAGGAAAGATTGGAACTGCTCAAGACCACCAAGATTCGGATACGCTTGAGCCCATGCAACACCCTCGAACACCCTCTGCGCTTGCTAGGCAAAGCTTCTCACTCGACATAACCCTACAGACACAAGAAGTTGTTGTGAGGAACACTCATGCAACTGCTGATCAGGCTAGACACATGCACATGTGAACTGGCTTAGCAGGCCTGACGCGGCAGTTATAGAGCCTCAATAGTTAGAAGCATTCAGGAAGCCTCAGGAGTAGTCCAAGTATCATTGCAGACTTGGTGCATAAGTGCGCTATGGAACGTGATTCGTTTGACTGAGATTGCGCTGGACCGACATTCGGGTACATGTATAAGCAAGGGTGACGAACATCATCTCATGCAGGAAGTCGGCCATCCACTGGACCAAAGTCATGCAGGCCGGGCGGGACCATGTGATGAGATGAGAACCAGAGAGCACAATCTTACGACCTTAGGAGGTGTAGTTTTCTTGATTGCGCAGACTCGCCCCAGCTCATGGCCGTGGAATAGAACAGTTTCAAGTCACGATTTCAGACATGCCTTTCCCTCCGTTTGTCTCTTCGCACCCATGCCTGTAGCTATGCTTATATATTTTTAAATGTTATGTGTGTATATACTAGTATATACACATAGAGATGTACTTACATGCATACATATCAACGAGCAAACAATGCAAAAGGTGATCATTCAGAATGTGTGGTTGAAATTTGCAGTATGCCCGGTATGCAGCGTACCCGCACGTGCAAATAATCCACATATATGCGCCCATGCATGTACAGACATCTGCATGTGCATGCATGCATACATACATACACACGCACATCTCTCCATGTGGTCACTATCTTCGTGGCTGTGTCTTCCAAGGAGCTGTCCTTGGTGGAAGGCAACCAGCGGCGAGACTTCGCAGACATTGCACCTCGGTTAAAAGATGGAAAACATGTGGCACGTGTCATGCATGCAACATCGAGCAGTCACGCAGGTTTGGCAAATAGCAGAACGCAGAGGTTGCAACGAGTTTGCACACGCCTGAGTCAGACTTGCGTAAAAATGCCAGGAGAGAGGTGAACACCCGCTGTCACATTCCCGTAGAAGGTGGTGAGGTACGACTGCGGGCACTCACTCCGAGCCGAAGTTTCAGCTCCTCATCTTCCCAGCACCAAGGAGAAGCTGAAGCCACGGGCTCCATGCAGCGATAGCAGAGATTCTTGCCTGAGAGGACTATGGCACCCACGAGGCAGACCGGTCCCGGTATGTGCAACACTGCTTGCACGTCCGGGCCTGAAATCTTGGGGTCCGGATACTACCCAGGTGCAGAGGTGCCAGAATTACACCTGAGGTCCTGACTCGCCACCCCGCAGAACCACAGGCTCGGGGGTTGACAAAGGGTGCTTGTGCTGGCAACGAGCCAGAAATCTGCAGGTGCAGGTTACTGTGCCAGAAGGCCGGTGTCGGCACTGCCAGCGCGGCCAGCGACAGACTCTGGCATCTACGCTCAGTGGTGTAGCTTTGAGAGTTTGAGCTCGTCTGACGGCGCAGAGACTGCAATGTTTCGGTCTGTGAAGGTATGCGGACCTGTTCATACCGATCTCAGGCGGGAGTGACAAGCAAACTAGGCACTGCATTAGGTTCTTTCTGATGCGGCACCCCTTGCATTGCGATGTTCAGGGAACCAGCAGCACCCGGGCTCGTCGCCAAGGCATAAAGAGTGTGTGTGGGATTCGGTGGTCCGACCTGAAAATCGACGGCTATACAGCGAGATAAGAGCGAGATGTTTAGAGGATCACTTTAAGCCCTAATAGAGCTGGCCAGACCCTGGGGCGTGGTGCGCTGGACGCCTTGACTCGCGCCAAGCGTGTGGATCTGCCAATGACCGCCCACTCCTTCCTGGCCACGATCGGGCAGGCACCACAAGCACGCACATCGGCATGTGCACGTGTCCATGTTGATGCATATTCCATGTGCAGACTTAGACTCGTGTACTTACCTACCCATGTCTCGGTAGGTCTGTCCGTGTGTCTCTATGTACGTCCCTGTGCATTTCTTATTTTTTCGCTCTCTCTCTCTCTCTCTCGCTCTCTCGCTCTGTGTCGGCCGATCTCATTGTTTGATGGCGGTCTATTTGTGATATTCTGCGCTCAACAAGAATGAACAACATGGATGTTCCCGACTTCGACGCCTTGCAGTTTCAGTTGCCGGGGAGTGGCATGGAGCCTTTATTCGACGATCGACTATACATATCATGTGTCTCTCTCTCTCTCTCTCCACCTCCCGGCTCTCGCAGGTCTGCAAGATGCCAGCGACGGCCAACCTCCATCCTTTAATAGGCCGGGTCATGTTTCACAAGTGCTCTTCTGGTAGTTCTAGTTCATGTCTCAGACTTCAACATTGCCGTTTAGGTCGGGGTCCAACACCTTAGAGATGCAATCGAAAAGTCCCTGGTTTTTGCGAAGGCATAAGAAGACAGAATGCAAACGCCGAGATAGTCAAGCATCCTTCACACTGTCCTGGGCACACTGCGTCTTCGCAGGGAGAATCTTACGGGAGCTTCAGCAAAGCGGGGATCCCCATAGTTGAACCCAGCGAAACGAAGCTTGATTGCAATATCCCCAGAGCCTAGCGAAGTTTCGAAAGGCGCCCAAGAAACAAATGAACAGATATGATCTCTGCTATGATGAAACCCATTCCTTCTTCCGCTGAGGTGCTCAGGAAGCAGTGCTGGAAATGCCTTGGTCGACAAAGCAGATGATGCCGAAGGAGGTTGGCATGAGTACGCTGCTTCGTGGTTTTAAACGACTATCTCTGTAGTGTATTGCTTGCTCACAAGTGTTAGTTATGGCAAACCTGAGAAGGCACCAATTGCGGCAAGTCTGCTATCAGTAGTATTTAATCATCATTTGCACTGGTGTTGTCAGCTCCACTGTTTCCGTGGTTTCAGTGGGCGAATAGTGGTGGCACGCTTGCATACCAGAGAAAGGGTGAGATTCAACGGTTTCGCTTCAAAATCTGCAAAAGAGTTGGAGCGACGGGCAGCGCAGTGCCCGTGATCAGGAGATTCACCAATGGACCCGGAAGGAGATCGAGGAATCCTTTGGGATTGGTTTCTGCTAAGGCAGCCGCATTCACTCGGCATCTCCAGCTTTCCATCGCCACCTTCTATCGAGAGTTCAACCGGGGAATACTGGGCATGTGATGTTGCAAGGTAGCATGCACAGTGGCACCGGTTCAGCAGTGCTGAGGGAGAAGGGGCACTCGCATGGAAGACGTGTTGCATGTTTGCTCTGCCTTCAGACCGAAGATAATGATGTTGACGATGGCTGATGATGGTGATGGGGTGTTGTCAGCCTTCGGGGATAGTATCGTCATTATAGTGAAGACGTCTGGGCAGCGCAGAACCGTGGAATGCAAAGCATGCTGGTTTCAGCGGAAGCGGACTTCCACTTGAGTCGTGCAGTGCTTGCACCATGACAATCCCCTGTACGAGTTACCATGCCCTCAGCTTCATACACGTCTGAATCCGAGAGGACGATGTGGAGTCGATGCTTTTCAGATACATCTGCTGCTCCGCTATTGCCCAGACCTCAGAGCCAGGCCCCTCCTGGGTCTTTTTCTGTTTCGCTGTGCCAGTTGCTCTTCGTGTTCAGCGGCGAGAGCTTCTACCATCTGGTCAGTAACCTGATGCCACTTCAACCGGACTGCTCTGCATCTTTCGCCCTCCGGCCCAGCGGCTCACAACTTGGGGACTGCATCGCATCACATAGCAGGAGACTGACATAAACTTCAAGGAAACGGAGTATATAGGACCCCAGCTTGTGCCCATTCCATGCAAAGTGACACAGCCTGAAGTATGCTCGAATGGTCTCGAATGTGCGTTTGGGCAGGACTCGACCAGCTGACCCCGGAGTTAGTGGTGCTCGAGAATCTCACCACTCTGAGCGGCCTCGAGTGCATCGGCGATAATGGTTGTCATGTGCAGCGCAGCAGACCAAGATAACATAGTTGAGGCTCCGGGTGGCGAACTGCACCTGGATTATGTCATCGCTGACATACGCGGTGCACACGGCCGGGCCAAGCTGATTGAACAAGCCAGCTGCCGCTGTGGCTGCACGCTGCCCTGCTGCCTTCAGCCGTCGCGTGTCAGGCGCTGGGCCCGGGCGAGGCTGCTGAAAGTGAGGCGCTGCAGGGCATCTTGGCTGGAAACGGAAAGAGCAGAGCCAGTCGGCAGAAAGTGTGTGGAGAACGTCACAGACAGCTGTCGAACAGGTAACGGTGGATATCTTTGGAGCGGAATTGTGCATCCTTCCTGGGTGGGGATTCTGATTGCGATCCTTGGTCGCAGAGACGTTGTCGAAGCATAATTGTGGAGGGTCACTCATGGAAGGATGCACATCACCATCAGGTGCACTCCGTTGTTGTGCGTCTTCGAGTTCATGGTCACAATGCCACGCTTCATCATGATAAACGTCGCTTGGAAACAAAGCACAAGACAGCTGCTGAGGGCATGCCGATGTCGTCACGACACTGTAGCATTCAGGTAATGTTTTCTGGCATTCGCTGCCTTATCGTGCAGCCTGGGCGCTTACTGGTCAGTTCCGCAGCTGCAACAAGCTCGCCGAAGCTAGTGCGGAAGTACAGCGCATTAAATCGTAGAAAACGCAGCAAACAGAGACAGCAATGAGCTGGTACAAGCTTTACCTCGAGGCCTGCTGAGCAGCATCTTGCTTTTCCTGACACGATCCCTTTTCTCACCCCCTGCGATTTTGGACTCTTGGCTGCACATGGCCGCACGATGGGATTCCGAGTTCAGAGGCTTCTGGCGTGGAGATCTTGAGGGGCCGTCCTGCATCTTGCAGGTCACGACGGTCCCGACCGCCAACCCAATCCTGGGGGCAGCGTTCATTTGCATATCGCTGGCCGCCATTACGTCGTAAGGGTCACAGCTTTCGAATTGAAGGAATGGTTCAAGTTTCGCAAGGCAGCTACTCACTGCCCTGAGGCCTGTCCCTTTGCTTCTGCTCGCACGCGATCTCTGGAACACGACTTCCAATCTCAGAGTTGTCAGGACCTGCCTGCCAGAGAAGATGCCTGCCTTGTGATTCCGCACCCGCAGGAGCTTCAGACGAGCTGTTGGACACAAGGCCTTATGGGCAGCTTCCATTGCAGTGTCTAGCGGCAGCACTGGTTTTGCCTTCGCAGGTCTGGAGCAAAGCCTTGGAACGCCTTCCGTTTGCCTCGCGCTCGAAAGGAGCGCAGCGGTCTCTGACGGGAGGCAACTGTACTCTGATGTCTTTGTCGCAGGTACCACACGAGGATCTCGGGATCCTAAGCAAAAGGACTACAAGGGTGCCGAACGTCCGAATCGCGCGGATTCTGGAAAAGGCGACAAATTGCAGGACCGATCGACCCTTGCAATGGTTTTAACAGATGGGAGTGACACGTCTGCTCTGGCAGGGCAAAGATGACAAAGGAGCTGCCAGTTCCTTTGCTCCCCCCTGCTTCGTCTGCCTGGACAAGCCCTCAAGGCTTCGCCTCTTTGTCGGAGTACTTCGGTCATCTCTTGCATCTCGTTTGTGAGCATTTTCACTGCCCCTGCAGTGTTTGTGCAGATACATCTTGGAGCCATGTGGGCATCGGGTTGTGTGTGGAGACTGCGCAGCCATCATCTCAGCAGACATTTGTGCGAGCATGTTGCATGTCACGGCAAGATATGCTGCGCGGAGGTGCAACTTGTGGATGCGGCTGCACGGACTCGCACTGCTACAGAGGTGGCTTCGGGAATTCGTCCTCGGACTCTGGGGTGCGTTTGGAAGGGCAGAATTCTGCAGGCTGACCGTGGCGGCGATCGAGGGGGCAACTGTCCGTCTTGCCAGTTGGCTGGAACACCGGGAACGCGCTGTGTGGTCACACGATCAGTTCGTTCTCACAAGTCGAGTCACGCCTCTGAGGCTCACTGGCCATCAATCGGGCGATGCGGATCTTTCCATGAAAAGGGAGAGCTCTGGGTTTAGATGTAGCAGCGGTCCATTTGCATTCCTCGATGTCTCTGCTAGTCGGGGCGATTGATGGTAGCATCACATGCATGTTTTTCCATCCTCAGCTGGAGATCAACTTTGCAACCACCACCACCACCACCACTACTACTGTTGCTGTTGCTGCTTTTACTACTACTACTACTATCCGACCATTGGCGTGCCATGTGGGTGACAAAAAACTATCCGACCACCTGTGGTTTAGCAGTTTCTTCGCCGTCGAATTTGCAGCTTCAGCTGCTGTCGCAGTTGTGGGGCCTGAGCCTTTGCAACTTCGCCGGCTGTGACAGTCAAAGAAAGTGAGCCTCTGCAACTTGTGCAGCTGTCCCAGATAGGGAGTTTGATCCCCTTTTGCAGCTGCTGCAGTTAGAGAGCCTAGAACCTGCCACTGCCCAGCCTGTATGGAGCAAGTGTAATTGGTAGCGGGGGGTGGTTAGTGGTAGGAGTTGTTGTAGGTGTAGGAGAAGGAGAAGCAGTTGCAGTGGTAGTAGGAGCAGTAAAAGCAGTAGCAGAGGAACAGGGGATTTTGTAGCTGTAGCAGTTGCAGAAGCAGCAGCAGCAGTCGCAGCAGCAGTAGTAGTAGCAGTCATCGTCAAAGTAGTAGTAGTCGTCGTCGTCGTCGTAGTAGTGGTTTTTTGTCAGCCGCATGGCACGCCAATGACAGCTCCGCGGGGACTTAAAGGGCAACAAGTCACAACGAAGCCCAAGAAGACAGATAGAACATGAGTAAATGCTAAACGCAAGTACAGCAAGAGCCATAACGGTTCATGCTCATGCAGTGCATCTATTGATCCGATCACTACTCTGGCATCTGACTACAAGTTCGGGGTAACAGGAAAGCCGCCCACTTTCAGGCAGGCAGTCAAGGTTTTCAAACCCATGAGGAGTCAACTCTAGGAAAACCAAAGTCAGAGCAACCCTTACAGCAGAGCTCACCAAAACTGACCGTAAACCCAAGTCAATTCTCATATGGTTTCGACCGATGGTGTATCACGTGTCCTGAATGCAGCGGCGCAATGCTTTCTTTCCCAAAGTAGAGCGCAAGGGTGCAGAGCAGTACATGGTGATGCAGTGCGATGTTTACATTTGCAAATTATGATTTCGGGTGTTTTGGAATTAGAAACTGGCCTCGAACAACCACTTGTACCCCCTTATAGGGAAAGGAGAAAGAAGCAGCAGCAGGAGGAGTAGTAGTAGTAGTAGTACGTGCATGGTGCATATTTGATGCAGCGTTGTCGTGCACGTCACAGGCACAAAACACTGTATTTTCCGATGTATGCAGGACATGGAGAGTCTCTGTCAGGGCGGCGCCGTTTTGGTAGATCTTGTGGCTACCTGATCGTGTTATGCAGCTGAGCAGGTTCAAAGGAGTTGTCGGCAGTGTCAGACACATGCACAAGATAGGGCAGTTTTGGAAGTAGGTATATGAACTGTGCAAGAGGTAAATCTGAGCCATTGTTCGCAAACTCGTCCGTGGGCGCTACAAGGGTAAGCAGCGTTCTCACCGGTGCGTTGCTTGTTTCAACACGGGGCACCGCGTGGTTGGGTAGAGGTGCGACAACAGTTTGAGCATGCAAGAGGTTGTCGGCTAGTAGGAGTTTGCCAGCTGCGTTGGCACTGGGTCGAGTAGCACACGAAATGTGCCAGGGCATAGCCACGAGCGAAGCGACTCCAGGTGCGAAGCAACGTAAAACAAATGCGATAGCATGTTTGGGTTTGGTTAAACCCGAAGCTTCCCCCCCACTCACAAGCCCCGAGCCACCCCCCACGAGGAGGGAGGGGAGGGGGGAGGTACCGATGCGGGAGGCACATATCCCCCCTCTCGCCCCTCACGCATGCACGAAATGTCAGCCGCACCGATGCGAAAGGCACTTCGAGTGCAGGATGCAGTAAAACCAATACAAACTGCATATCTCAAAAACACAACAACAACAACAACAGTAGCAACAATTCACGCAAGCACGCACCGATGCGAAGAGCAGTTGGAATGACGGCATATCGGTCTTCGGCGCGTTTACATTAACGTCGGAACCAATAACAGTAACGGCAATA